AAAGCCATTATAATATAATCATGTTATAACTACAAAAATGGTAAGCTATATTTTGTAAAGGTAATTACAAGCTTAATATTTTTAGTAATCTGTTTTGCTTTTTTCCCCCACATTAGAGCCATTATACTGTTTTAAGCACTAAATAGGCTAATACAATGAATCAAAGGACAATTTACTAGAATCCTCACTATAACGAGTCCTTATTTCTTGAAGAAATGAAGTTGTTGAAAAATAACCGATTATTATCCTGGTTTGTGTCTCAATTTACTGTATTTACAGTGAACGACATTTGGGCTTCCAAATTAATTAAAAGAAAAATAAACGAACCTCCAAATACTACAGAAACTTTAAAGCCGTTTATAGCATTCAAAGAAAAAATTAAAATGTTATCACCCTCATGCAAAACAGGGCCACAAGACCTTCAACGCTTTAAGCCCCCACATGTTTTTAACTTTTAATCTCAGAAAGCACTCTATCGATATAATTATTGGGATGTTAAATTTTAGGATAAATAAGTTACTGGCAATCGAACAAGAGACTTTTGTAACCTCTTATGTTCTGATAGCAATTTGGTTGATTCTAAGTAAAAACAAAATCAGGTTTGAAAACTGTATCATTCATATTCAAGCTAAACTTAAAACCTACAAATATCAACCTCAGAACTAACATCACACAGGTGGTAAAATCTGGTATTTCTCTCACTGTATATTGTAAAGGACACGTCTAGAAATTTCGCTTGAGGAAAAAGTGCGCACTTGTCCTCATGTTTAAAACTTTAACATAATAAATGAGTGGTCCCTTCGCAACACAGTGTAAATGACTTCACCGCTTGCCTGCACGCATTTCTCTTCTGAAACAAACACCAGAAAAAAAAGACGCAGGTTTCTTTCTCGCAGCAGAAAAAGCGACACGAAGAGAAATGGACTTACAGCAGATCTCCACACGCAGCCGAGCTCGAAGTGCAGATTCTGCGACCCCTCCCTAGCGAGACACAGGCCTCAGACTTCTACAACATCAGCATCGCACGAGTTGAGCAGAAACGCTCCTCTTTTTAGAACTTCAAGAGGGGAAACTTTTTTTTATATAAAAAGGCTGTGAAGTCATCAGCCGCTACATCCTCTGTCACGTGACTACAGGGGGGGGAGACTTAAAAAAAGACTTCCAGACACCCACAATAGGTCCTTCCCGTGGGTGATGAGAAGTGTCATTGGTCACTGGGACCAATGTGCTGACTACAGCTCGTTACACATGTATGTCCTTTAGGCAGTCAAATAGAAATCAATAGGCATAAAAAAAATAATGTTATCGGTTTAGTGCTTAACTAGATGAATTGAATTATTTGCAAAGAAGCAGCTTTGTCTGTGTCAGTGCAGAGGAGAGGATCTGAAAAGCTTTGGAGAAAAGGCTGCGATCTGAGCTGGGTCGGTGGGTATTTGTTAGCGTGATTAAAATGCAGCTGTTTTCTTCGTTGTTGCAAGCAGTGTATTTGCAGCAGCAGCAGCAGCCCACCCCACCCCACCAGAGGCTGAAAAGCATGCAAGGTTTCCGGCCTTTGATTTTACTCTGCAATCACTCGTCCGCTGCGTTCAGTTGTCTGCAGCCTGCAGGTACGTCTCACTGGAGGAGGGAGTGGCAGAAAGTTCCCAGGCAGAGCAAGGGGGTGAGGAGGGGGAGGGGGGGGAGTTTCAGTTTCCTCTGTCAAGCACAAGAGCTTGGCCTGTGCAGACACTGGGTTTGTTTGCACACTGACAGTCCCTACAAATACACACAGCGAGACTGGTCTTCACCAACACTACAGGTTGATCAAAGATTTTCATTCTTACCCTATGGCCCATTTTGGATGCTTCTGCATGTGAAATACATGCTTATATGGCCCTAATTGGAAGACCTCAAATTAGACTATAATTGCACATTTAAACTTAAAAGTACAATACATAAATAAACTGCAATCTTAACTGACATCCTCATTACTTGTCATGGGGTAGTATCTTAAAATGCTGCAGTGCGATAGCTTCTTCAGGGATAGACATAACAACAAATTCACAAAGAGCTTTTTGACTAGACCTTCACTACTGGGTTTTCTTCAAAACTTTTGCACATGTTTTTATATACAAACCTATGGAAGAACCTGCAAGATTCGATCCCTGTAAGTACCGATAAAAACCTTCACCCGTACTACATACTACCTGACCCTGACTCCTGCTCCCAAAGCTATCTGTGCTGTTCTCTTATCATCTATTGAAAAGCGATTTGCAAACTTTATAAAAAAGGACATAACATACAGTATACAAAGGACATTATAAGGGAAAATATTTAGCCATTCCAATGAAACAAACCTCTAAATTCTGAGAAACTGAACCAGAATGAAAAAAATCAGTACTGCCAATCAATGTTTAATTGCATCCGCAGTATTTAATTTGTTGCTTGAATAATAGTTACAGATGAACAGTTTCACTCCATATACAACTACAAGTACATTTTTACAGTTCATATTCCAATACATCAGTTTTATTGGTTTATTTACAAAACACTTTATGTACATTTTTCTCTCCAAAATTAAAGTCAGTGCAATGTCGTTTTTTTATTTTTTTAACAACACTTTACAAAATAAATGTAAATTAACTTAATAAATCTCTGGCAATTCATGAAAATTAATTTAACCCCAAAAAAAAAGATTACAACTAATATTATAGACACAAAAACATACAATTCAGTAGTAGATTGCACTACCTGCCAATAGATCAAAGTTTCGGCCAAAGAATTAATACATTAACTCGGGATGAACAAGCAAAGATAGTTAACCAAAACGAGTTCTGAAATAAAATGCCAACAGTATGCATACTAGGAGTAGATTTTGAGCATTTTAAGAATGTCCAGTTAAGTTAACGTTTAGGTAAAAACTTATCATAAAAGGCCCAACTAGATCAGGACCCAAACAAGTGTTGCTTGTAATGTTTTAAAAACAATTCGAATTTGTAGGTTGCTACTGCAGGTTGCAGCGTATAGTATTTTTATTTAAAAAAAGATTCACATTTAGCACTAGTGCCCCTTTGCATTAATATCTTTTTTGTGCTGCATTTCCTTCTTTTAGATAGACAGTTATCCTTTTTTCTTGAAGCACGTTAGGTAAGAAATAAAAGTTGTAGGCGGACAATTCAATGTGCTCTCTGGGCGCACCTTAATTTAAAAACAAGGAGAAGGCCAGAGCTCTGCTCCGTAGTCGGTGTGGCTGATTTCTGTGTGGAACAATGGAATGGAAGAGTCCAGGACACTGTTGGCTATCAAGCCTTCCAGAACCACAAACAGAATGGTAAGCAGATGTGAAAAGGTGAAACGTGTGACCCATGTACAGATAAATGTTTACTGGCTGATTCAGAGCAGTTAGAAAAGTGCATGTTTTTTTTTAAGGTTTGTTCTTCCAGAACTACAATTCATATAACTTTGACTAATTTTGAATGATACCCCCTGTTTCTCCCCACTTAGCCTAGAACCCCAAAACCCTTATCAGCAGATATACTACAAATTTTCTAAAACAAACAGTATAAGAACACAAGAGGATTCAAAACAGAAATTGAATCACAGTGAAGTTATCCCCCCAAAATAATTCAGTTTTATTAAAATGCAATAATTTCAGTGCCCGTAAGATGTGAAGTTCTCCCAGAGAAGGTGTATTAGTGTGCATTTCCTGTAAAAACCTTTGTGTTTTAACGAAAATTAGATTTATGACTTTTGAACTAGACTATTCATGTTTTTCTTTTTTAAACACCAAGAAAACAAGGGTTGCATTCACCCTGAACTAGATGTCCCACACTCTAGCTGCATGTTAGTTTCCACAATGAAAGACGGGGTGTTTCAGTGTCAGATGAAGGAGCTGTTTATCTCACAAGAGAACTTGACAGAACTACAATTAAACTTTCAATCGCGTTAATCATCTCAGAGGTACAGATGCCTAGGGTAGGAAGGCTCTCAGGGCTACAGTAAGTTTAGGGGCTTGTGGTTTTTTAAGGTGATAACCACAGGCAATTTAGCAGAAGCTCTGCCTTTTAAAAAAAACATCAGACTCTAGCTCCACAACCTAAGCTGACATGGACCCCCTGACAACTAAAAATAATAGAATAATTTAAAACTAACAGACAAAACTGCGACAAACTGAATTCTTTAGCACTGGACTGCTGCCTGTATAAATCCAAGAATAATGATGATGATGATATTGCATTGGAGCAAAATGAATGGCCGGATACAGAACATTCACAGAATGATAAAAAGGATCTTTACAAAAGCTTTGCGTGGTTCCACTGGCCTGCCAGCCAATTAACAACATTGTAGGACATAAAACAATGCTAAAACAATTGATAAACCCATCAATTAAGGGCAAACTCTCTTTCAAACAAAAACCAGAACCTCACTTAGCAAGATACTGGAGTTTCTAAATCACTGCAGGATTCACTGCAGGAATCACTCAAGTCTCTCCAAAACGCTAATCAGCACTTCTAACCAGAAAAATTGTCACACTGTTTTTTTTTTTAAAGACCCTTTCATCATTTGGAAAATGCCAAGCACGAAAGTGAAAGAAAAAAATTAAATCTTAAAAGTTATGAGTTAAGAGATAAGAGTGCAGCTGTATTTAACACTTAAACTTAAAATAAAAAATTGAAATGGAGCACACAAGCAAAACCATTGGGACTGTGAAATTCCTGAAGCTAGGACATGTAGAGATATAATGTGGTCATTAAAAAAGAAAAATGGTAGGCTTTCATAAAAATAAATCGCTACAAAACACTTCACAAATTAATATATATATATAAAATTAAAGTGGCTAAGACTCTTTGAAATATATGGCACAGATCCTGTAAATAAACCAATATATTTTCATTCAGACTTGCAAGTTAAAAAGATGGAGCACCCAATTCACTAAATACGTCTTAAATACACCTCTAATTAATTTAAGCACAAAACCTAGTTTTGGCAGTTGCTTTGTTAAAATCTGGAAAATGTATCATTCTTCAGGTTATGCTTGTGAGGGAACAGTTTTTTTCCATAACCTCATATAATTTAGACTTTATATTTTACAAGGGGAAAGTGCGCAAGTTGATTTCAAATGCAAGTGGGTACGCTTTTCCAAAACATATAGGAGCAGTAAGAAAAGTTAGATAGTTTACACTATCCCCTATATTTAAGCCCCAAAGTTTGAAAAAGTATTACTGTTACAATTAGCCAATACACTGCAAAAAAACTGAGGTAGCATATGAGGTTTTCTACTATCACGAAAATATTGAAAACCCTTTAAGCCTTTCAATCAACATTGGATTTCTTTTTAATTAGGAGTAGCTGTAGTTCAGTGTAATGGAAATTCTTCCTCCAATCCATAGAGGGCGCTGGATTTCCCATTTACACTCACTGCATTCCAGTTAGTGCTTAAGCAGGACACATTTGTTCACTTGGCAAATGGCAATACAGGACTTTTTTTATATAAATTACACACCTGAAATAACTGGAAAGTACCACAATTAAAAAAAAAAGCAACCATCTATGAAGAAGTTCTGTATTTGATGACTACTTAAAATAACGCCATTTTGTGCTTCTTAATCAAGGGATGACTCCATCTAATTTCCACCTGCCGGCTTCGCAAGGTTGTTTTTCCCCTTCCTTTCTTTCCGAGCGCGACCATGTTCACGAGTTACCAGAATGTCTTTAGTGGAAGCACACAGGGTCACTGGAGAACACAGTACTTCTTGTAGTCGGACTCGAAATCTTCGTCCATGCTGCTGGTGTCCGCCATCTTTTTCCCATCAATCTTCGGCAGGAACTGCGAATAATCTACTCCCTCCTGCTCATAGAAGAGGATGTAGGCAGAGTCTGTGTCAATCTCTTCAGAATGCACCTCCTGGGGAATTGAAACAATACAAGGTTTGGAAAAAACGCTTAATTAGATATTTCACACCTACTCTTTTACTTCAATGTGGTAAACTTCGGACGCAATTGCACAATACAGGTCACAAACGAGAGGTGGCTCATCTACTGTATTTTGTGTGTAGTAGGCAACTGATCTGAGGATCTCCGCCAGTCATTTCTTAAAGCTGCTAGCCAAGTTTCTTTCAATTACATGTCTGGGTAACTTGTTCCAGACACCCATGGATTAAACACTGAATACATTCTGGGTGATTCTTTTGGTTTAAATGGATGTTTTATTTTTTGGCCTGGGTCACGACCAAGGGGGTATGTGAAGTGCCCTTCTCCAGAGACAGCACTGGTGGGAGCGCATCTGTTTCATCACACCAGTCCCTTACCTTACAGCTGCTGTCATTGTAACAGTACCACTTTTCATTGGGGTTTTTGGCATATGTCACATAGTGGCCTCCTCCCAGGATTCCTGAATGGCACTGCAAGAACATGCAAAGAGTGAGGAAAACGTGAAAAAACTGAATCACTACAAAAACAAACCTCAAACAATCGAGCCAATGGGGCAAAAACCTTTTTTTTAACTAGTTCCTCTAATTCAGGGTTGCAGGGAAGTGGAGTCTCTCCCAGAAAGCAACAGGCCCAAGGCATGGTACGCTCCCGGATTGGATGGTGGGCCATTGCAAGACAGGCGGGCGCGCGCACGCACGGCACGCACGCACCAGGGCCAATTTATCCAGAAGCCAATTAACCTACCAGTATGCCTTTGGACTGTGAGACTAAAACAGGGAACCAATAGTAAACCCACACGAACTTGGGGAGAACATACAAACTCCACACAGACAGACAGCACCTCAGGAATTGATCCCAGGCCCCCAGAAATACAAGGCGGTAATGCTAGCCACTGCGCCATCATGCCATCAAGCCCTCACTTATTATTCAGTAAATACGATCTCGTTCTCACGGTGCCCCTTTCCCTTGTTACGGACACATTCACCATGTGCAGTGCACAGTACAGGCAGAGGACAGGTTTGCACGCTGGGCAGGGTTTTCGTGGCAGGACGAAAGGAAATGCATTAGCCTGTGACTATAAAGATGTCAAAGCACTCCCAGTGAAAACATGCATTGCTCCCATCCGTCACTAGTTCACAACATCAAGTGGTTCAGGAGTGCAAATTAATATGCCGCACTAGACCCCAGCTCGAACAACATGGTTCTGCAAATGACTGCTCAGTTAATTGTGCCACTCTAAGACACTGCAGGCCAACTCCACTGAAAACACCTACTGAAATTGCATATAAATTGTAGACAGGCTTCAAGCAGATTTCATCTCTTTGGTGGTGAAAGCTCTCCGAGTCCATGATGGTTTCTGCGTGGCCATTGCTCTGGCCAGGCTCGTGTCCGAGTCCGAGTCCGTTCACCATGACCGCCTCGCAGTCCCTGCCTGGCGCCTCCCCAGGCCAGACGTCCTGCCCGTTCCCCTCTGCCACCCCCACCCCGCTGCTGGCCTCCAGGTCCGCCGCGGGTCCCTGGTCCAGCTCGCCGGAGCCCTCTCTGCAGCTGTCCAGGTTCTCCTTGCTGTTTGACAGCTTGTGCCTGCTGCCCAGCTGGGGGAGCCTCAGGCGTCCCTTGTTCTTCCCTGGGGTTTTGGGACTGTTGCAGGGGCTGCTGTTCCTGCTTAAGGGGTTAGTGCTCTTCCTCCCAGGCCCAGGAGAGGCTAAAACAGAAAGGCAAAACAAGGAACGTGTGATTGCAGTGTATACGTGGACAAAACACATGCACACACACCTCTGAAATTAAACAGATCTTAGCTCATATTCCAAATGTACAGAAGCACTCTGATTATCTGTCATAATAAGTTAATATTTGGTTATGTTTTGCAGCCAGATAAGAAGTGTGGTGGGTGGATCTATCTTGGAAACGTTGATGAAAAGTTAAAAAAAAGTTTTGCTAAGAATACCAGTCATCTTGGTTTCTCACTTCTCTCTCCTACCCTCTATTAAGCGTTATAGCAGCATAAAGGCACAAACTTCCAGATTCAGAAACAGCTTCTTCCCACAAGTTGTCAGATTACTGAACTCTACCCTTACCACTGGCTCACACTGATGTTTTCTGTAAGTTGTATGTTATTTAACTTGTGGTTGCTGCTGCTGTCCTGTGTTTGCTTTTGGTGAATCCATGAATGTCGCTGTATAGGAGAGCACATGCAAATAAGCATTTCATTGCACTTGTGCACAGGACAGATAAACTGCACTGAATGAGGACAGGGACCGGCACCTCCAGAGATGCAGCCCCGCGCGAGTGGAGGGCGCGTGCAGAGAGAAGCACAGACCTTTAATACTGTGCGTCACTGCAGTGCCGGGGGCGGCCGTGCCGGCGTCCCCACTCCCGGCCGTCTGCGCCACGCCCACCTCCGCGCCCCGCGTCTCCGCCGGCTCCTCCCCCTGGCACTCCTCCCGCCCTCGCTGGCACGCGCCCGCGTCCCGGGGCACCAGGAAGGCGCTGGGATCGAACCTCTCGCGGGGGAACTTCACGATCTTCTGCGACTTGATCCAGCGGCCATTGACAAACTGGAAGCGTTTCAGGTGGATTATCTGGGGAAAAGGGAGATCCGCAATTGGTGCCGACTTCGACTGTCATTCCGCTTCTTTTTTCTTTCGGAGTCTAATTCTAATTTCCTTTGAGTTTGCATTCCAAGCAAACAAGTGTTAACGCAACTCCTGGGGTTCCAGCTGGGAATATTATTACATCGATACTATTGCCTTCCTTCTATTCTTTACAGCTGGGCACTGCACCTCCGGGGAGGAGAAAGCAAAGCACAATTGACCCCAGTCCTCCCTGCTTTACACAGGAAGTCACAAGACTTGTAATAGGTTTATTCCATTCTGAAAAGAGAAGAAAGGAAACACAACGTTTCGGCTGTGGAGCCTTCTTCGGGTCCGACACTCTTTTCAGCATGGAATAAACCTATTACTTGTTCCTTTGCAGCCTAAACTGCTACCCATCTGCACTAATCTAGCTACTTGGATCGGGACTCTTCAGCATTTTTGGAAATCATTCTCTCGCTTGGCCTTCGAAACGTGCATTTAAACTAAGGAGCAGACCAAGATGCGAGTCGCGCCGGGCAGAAACTCTTTAAAAGGAGCACATGGTGGCTCTCCTACCAGGACGGGGGGCAGCCTCCAGAGGTCAAGCTTCTTGGTGGCCAGGCGGTGGGTCTTGCACTTGGAGCAGTAGTACATCTCGTCCTCGCCCAGCTCCTCCTCGCTGGTGAAGGCGCGCAGGCAGCTGTCCAGGCTGATGGGCTCGGCCTGGGCCCGCCGACTGAGCTCCACGCTCTCGTGCTCCTCCACCACCTGAAACACAGCCGCCACAGCATTGCTGCCGCGTGACTCAGGCCAGGGGCACGGCGGACAAAGCGCGCGCGCCTGCCCTCCGCGAAACAGCGCAGCCACCTACGTGAAGCGTGGAGACACCTGCTGGAAGCACACAGTGCCAGCAGCGGGTCAAGAGCTGGCACTCATACGGCTGATTAAAGGGGAACTGCAACGTTAGTTTCAGAATTGTGAGGTAAGAAAGAATCGGCACTGATGAGTGCATTTCAAGCCGCAATAAATGTAAAATGTACATGGTATCTTGTGAAACCTCCAATCTACATTGCCAAATAGACAAAGTTGTCCCCTTGATGTGCAACGCCATGTTCTGCGATTCAGAATGAGGCAACAAAACTTCCGGTGAGGTGAAGCTGCGCTATGACATTTTATTCACAAGCCTGCTTGTTTACATCGTTTAATCCACCAGAAATATTGCTTTTGATTTCAACACAGTTTTGTCGACAAATACTACTTACTTGTTCACTCCGCATGCAGATCACGTTGGAACATTTCCGCGGTGAAATGCATGCTGCACAACCTGTACTTATTTGCTCGTACATCACATTACATCAGTCATTATGGATCATGTCGCAATTCGTGAGAACTCAAATGCAAATTTTGCAATAACATGGCGACTTACAGTAAAAACTTTCACAAAGTTCATGATTTTGTGCCCAATTCGAAATTTGTACATTTTTTCTGCAGCGTCACTGGATTTATTTTGTTACCGAGATTTAATAACCTGTCTGAGGAATTGGGACTGCAGTTCTCCTTTAAGTGATTAAACACATTTCACTTCTAAATGTGCCTCGCGTGGAACCTGATGACTGATGAATTGTGGGACCTCATGCTTTGTGTTGGGAGTTCAGGATGTGTTTTTACCCTTTCTTGGGAAGTCTGGTAGCGAAGGTGCAGTGCAGTGGGGTCCCAGTCTACAGCAATGTATGCATTTCCAACTGAAGCCCTTTCCTCATTGCAGTCTATTGTACAGCCTCTGCAGAACCTGAAAAGACGCAACAAGACAATTCCTATTCAGATGTAATATTTCAATCCGATATTACAGACCCTCAAAACACACAAAAATAACAGTGGTTATTTTTTTGGGGGGAAACATAATAAATAATTGATCTTCCCCACTGAGCTGTCCTATCCAGGGAATCCACTCTCCTTACAAGAGCCACAGCTCACACACATTACCATCTTCTTTTGATCCTTTCGTTTAACCACAAATCCCTATTGAGAATAAGCTGGACCCATTTACAGAGCAGGATGTGTTTACTAGATCAACCAAAGTGAAGAATCGTGGTCAAGCGAGCAACAGCAACGCCCCTAACAGGATTTGAACCAAGGACCCTCAAGCTTAAAGTTCAGAGCCCCAAACACAACTCCATTCTGTTGCCCAAGTCTGAGCCACTGCTTTCCATAACATAAGGTGAAGACTAACCCATGATTTTTGCAAAAAACAACAATTTTTTAATTAAATGCTGGGAAATCAAAATCTAAAAATGTAAAAAATACTAAGAAGCTTGACCCAAAATAAGATTTTGCTTTATATCATAAGTGTACTTTAAGAAAAAGCTATTTTGCTTTAACAGAGCTTATCCGTACTTAAAATAAACTCTATACTGCTGCCAGTGTATGTTCCAAAACACAAAATAATACAAAGTATAAATGTGTTTTTAATAACATTCATGCAAAAAACAAAGGCATTGTTACGGAACCGGTAATTTAGTACAACTCTCCACAACTGTCACGTGTTAAAAGGAGAGGTTAATCCTCACCTGTACCAGGGACACCGTGCACAGGAGTTTCCATCCTTCTGGACCACACGGAGTGTGAAGGGATACTGGTAGCCCATGCTGTCGTCACTGGAAGACCAGACAATGCTGCAATCAAACTCAGTGGTGAAGCCAGCGACTAGCCTTGCACAATATGCTTTCAAAGTTAAATGTGACATTTAAACATGTACAGCTATTGTACATATGCATTCCATATATAGACAGTACATCACATATAGAGTATGTGTACTTTCTAAGACCAATAAAGCAGTGCAACATCTTTCTATCCCTAAACTCTCTGTCTGCAGTCATGAGAGCTTATACTATTCTAAATATCAGCATTTGATACTCCAAGCAGTGAGCAGCTGAGAGCTGCAGTCCCTGCATATACTGACCAGTCCTGGGCATGGTTACTGGCCTCCTGTGGGGGCAGAGGGCTGGCCAGACGGGACACCTGGATCCAAACAGCGTCATACAGATCCCTCTTCCTGGTGTGCACTGTGCACGGGACGATCAGGGGCATCCCGAACAAGCTGGGCCGGTTCTTCTGAGAGGAGAGGAAGTACAGCTCTGTCCGCATCTGTAGATGAAGAATCCTCTTGTTAGAGCAACACTGAGGCAAGTGACCGGACACAACTCTAATAGAGGAAGAACAAGGACTGTATTCAGAACACTTAACCTTGTCGATGTCTGAAAATACACAGAAGTAAAGTAATCGTGTCACTTCTATCAGACGTATAAATAATAAATAACATTAGCTACAAGATCCCCAGATTATTGATCTGAGAAAAAAAAAATCAATGTAAATCGTTTCTAAATTCCACATGCACGAATCTGCTTTATTCCAAACATGCAGCTGATGAATTAAAGCCTGAATGAAAAAATAATCCTGTTTTCTGAGACACAGGTTCGTTCCCAGATCTCATTTCACTGCACCGATGCCAGTCGTATTACACAGAATTGGACATGTGCTCTCACCATTTTCCTGTGAATAGCAATAATGTATCCAGTAAAGGGGCTGTCTTGAAGAGGCACCACATGTCCGTTGGGAACTCCATTGGCGAGTGTTTTCTCTGTCCCACAGGGCACCACAGTGCTCGGCATTCCATTGGGAATGAGGGAATTCCCATTGGAGGCCATGGCAGGTATTCCGTTAGCCAAAGGTGCAACCTCTATAAAAGCAGTAAAGAACAACAATCACACCTTTCAGATAAATCAAGTCAAGTTTCCTTGGCATCTATGAAACTTTGTCTTGGACTTCAAGAAGCAAGTACTCTCCTCCAGCAGCCTCTGACTAGTGCTAAATATCTTCAGATTAATACTAAAATAGGAAAAGATACTGCCTTGGTTGTACCGAGAGTTCAGATAGACAGAGCTCACCTATCGATGAGGGAGAAGAAATGGATGTAGGTGATCCTGGGACTGGAATCTCAAAGGCGCAGAGAAATCCACTCACAGAGAGACGCACTTTTTGGTTGTCCAGCGGGAAATTCTGACGGCAAAACCAAACAGTCGATTCAGCTGGGCTTCCTTTCAGTCCCTGAATTCAATGTGGACGGGATTTACTGACACAAAAGGCTTTCCCCCTCCTCCTTCTCCTACCTTAATGTTGGAAGCGTGGACCTCTGCCAGGAGGATCTGGTCAGGTTTCAGGACGCAGAGCTCACTGAGCTGTTTCTTCAAACCCGTGTACTTCTCATCCATATTCAGGCGTAGGCCATACCGAACCGGGGTGGAACCGTCCAACTTGATGACTGAATGGAAAAATATAAAGCGAAAAACTGTCAACAGAATCTGTTAAGCCAGAGAAATTCCTAGCACTGTGCGGATTGCTTCATGAGAGCTGATTCGACTCTTCGGGAAGCTCGGTCTGTAACTTACCAGTTATTTCTAAGTGCATGTAGCTGTCCATGGGAAGGGGCAGAGACAGGAAATTGAAAGGGTCGAAGCGTGCGCTGATGTGCCCACATGTTTTGCACTTGACCTGCGACTTCAGCTGCCCGTGGAACAAGTCCACCACTATGGACTTGTTTCTCCTCAGGTGGTTCTCCCAAGCCTACAAGCAGAGGGCCCAGGGAATTACAGATAGATACCTTTACAGATAGATGCCTGTTTCAGCACACAGAAGGTCGTGGCCCACCCAAGGTACACTTGTCGATCCTCTTTACAGCACATCAGCGCAAAGCCGAGGGGGGTGCATTAATAAACCATGCGTTTCCGCCCAAGCAGCACAGCAAGCACCCCGACTACAGAGACGCCAGCGTGGCGGCAGTCTAACCTCGGAGGCCACCTCCCAGTCCGGCCGCCCGTCGCTGTCCTTCAGCTCCACGTACGGCTTGTCATGGACGCGGTTCAGGTCCTCATGGAGTCCGTCCAGCAGGAACGCCAGGAGCTCCTGAGAGTCTTGCTGCTGAAAGCCATTGAACCGTGGGGCGTATTTGGCTATCGTCCACTAGCAGTTTGCGAAGGGGAAGAAAATCGTTTTTTTTTATTTCAATGTTGCGTAGATTCTAAAGCATTTAAGAATCGAAACAAAAAGCAGGAGATGTCAGCGATAGTGCCAAGAGAAATGTAAGCCTACCCTAAGTTTGAGAGGAGCCACATTCTTTTGCGTTCCACTCCACAGCTCCTGGACCAGGTCTCCATAGCATTTAGCCATATGGCCACGCATCCCAATAGGATTCATCCTGCAGATACAAAAACAAGCATCCCTAGTTTAACACTGTGTTTGCATTTACAGAACCGCAGTTCTGCACGTTTTTTTTAAGAGAATTTATCTTCAGCCTCAGTGCTGAGAGTCTAAATGGTCTAATGTATTGCACCGACTGAAAATCCAAACTAAAACACGAGATAAAGATAAAATGTCCATGCATGGAAAAAAGAGGTTTGCAGATGAAGAATCAGTGAGCCAAAATGTAACCAATGAAAGTTAATTAATGAATCTTCACCACAGATGTCATGTTCTGATAGAAGGCAGATTTTAAATCATTGTAATTAGAGAGAATAGGGGTGTTTAAAGCAATCAGTACTTGCATTAAATTTACAAAATTGAGCATTATATTACATGTATAAATCAATAAGCCTCAGAGAAGCTCTGACATGAAGCCTTATTTTTCGATTATCATAGTAGGTTTAATAGCTAGTTATATTCTGATTTAATAATAAACCTTTCACATGAAAAATGATACATCTTTTTAAATGCTAGCAGCTGATTTTTGGTAGCGATTTGAAAAAACAGCTCAGCGGCACTCCTTAATAATTTTTATACATTCCCCAAACTGCCAAAATGGATTAATTTACAACATTTTGGAGTGCTTAATGCTCGAGTGGAGTTAACCACCCCATGGGAACATTTTTCTGCTTACAATCAACAGAGATGTGAAAAGAAATGTAATAGATGAAAAACTGCAGAATTCAAAAGAATTTTGAAATGGAACAAAGCACAAAAGCGTTCGGCAAGAATGGAACTCAGTTCCAGGTTTGGCTTGTGTACCGATTGAGCTCGTAGAGATGTCTCCCTGAGATGAAGTACTGTGTTAAAGGCTTCGTGTTGCTCACACACTGGATGCTGGAGTTCATGAAGCATGTGTTTCCCAGATTACTCAAACCTGTGGCCCCCTTTTCAGTGGGAACTGAGAGAGACACAATACATGAGTTCTAAATACAATAAATACAGTTCATTCTTGATTCAACACCACAGTCACACACACACGCAAGGCTGGCTGCCCTCCAGTCTGAGCGAGGTTGATGTACAGCATCAGACTCTGCTAAAACCAAGATCAATTCACACTGGAGATTGCATTTCGTTTGTTGAAAATATAAATGCAAAACTTTCTAAAAAATACATCACATTAATCAATCCAAGGACCGTGTGTTTGATACCAGTGTGAGGTCTGCATGGAGTTTGCATGATCCCCAGTGCTCATGTGGATCTTGGTCAGGTGTATTGGCTCATTTCCACTTCCATAGATATGCAGGTTCATTTTGACTGGCTACTGTGAATTGGCCCTAACTGGGGAGGAGTTTTAAAGAGATTCTGCCCTTGGGGAGGGTTGAGTTTTGTTACCAGATACATATCTATACAAAAACAAATATTTGCATTTGGATTGGCAACGCTACGCTCTTCAGCACTGACTTTTAACCTTTATGTTTCCAAAATAAATAATTGCTTGTTCTATTATATTAATGTCAGGACTACATGCCAGTGTGAATGCATTAACTACGTTAAAGCTATCATTACCTTTGTGTCGATCCATTTTACTGCTGTTTGCTATGAAGGACATCTCTTCTGGCCAGCTCATGTCTTTGTTACGAACTGAAAAAAATTAATACATAGAGATATCAATACTTATCCACTCAAAACAAGACCTTAACACAGGGTTTCTTGTTCCTGGTCCTGTTGAGCTATAGATCTTATACTTTTCAAAAGGAGGTCAAAGTCCTTGATGACTAAAGACTGAGAAACATTTGTGATTTATACCAATTAAAAGGGAAATGCAGTCCCAATTTCCCAGATCAGTTATTAAATCTTGGTACCAAATTCATTGACGGTATAAAAACAACTATAAATCTCATATTCAGCACAAAATCATGAACGTTGGGTGAGTTCTGTAAGTCGCCATGTTGTCGCAAACACCTGGTCTCGCCATTGGCCAGAGAGCTCCCATGAATTGTGACGTGAAGTGGACCTTCCTGCTCGCTAGTCCCTATAATGACTAATGTAAAGTTATGTATGAGCGAATAAGTACAGGTTGTGCAGCAGATATTTCACTGCAGAGAGTTTCCAACGTAATCTCCATGCAGAGTTAACAAGTAAGTTCCATGTATCAGCAAAACTGTCTTGAAGTTAAGAGGAAAATTCTTGTTTACAGTGAAATAGGGCCACTTCACAACATCGGACGTTTTGCTGCCTTATTCCGAATCCCAGAGAATGGTGCTGTTCATACCAGGAAATGTAAACATTTTGTTTTACAAGTTACTATGTACATTTTACTTCTATTGTGGTTTGAAATGCACTCATCAATGCAGATTCTTTCTAACCCCGAAATATAAAAATAGTGTTGCAGTTCCCCTTTAAGACCTTTATTAATTCAATTAACTCATTAAGAGTCTGGGTAGCGTGATAACCAGAAGACCCTGCAGGAAGTATCACTATCCTAACAGATCAATTAATTGGTAAAGCTCAAAATACATTCAGTAGCTAAATAAATACCTTCAATGACTAAGTGCTGTTCATCATGAATCTTCAAACCTTCTAAAGTGTGATCTTCATCATCAAGAAGAGTCAGGTAATTCTGCAAAGACATTTAACGTGCACTGTGACTTTCCTTCGCACAGTACATAGTAGCACTGACATTATTTGCTGAACTCACTGACTTTACTTTAAAGTTTAAAAGGTAAACAAAAATTATGAAGAATAAAAAAAAACCTCTGCCACATTATTTGACCTGAATTTTTAAAAGAGAAGCTGATTAGTACATAACCTGTGCCCTTCTGAGACAACCTGTAGATTGTTTTTATTAGTGGACTGTGTAGTAATAGGGAAGACTATTAAAAGTCTTTACGATCTTATCGATCATCTAGATAAACCCTTTAAAGGCATGCATGTTGCAAAGCAACTCTCCGATGATACAATGCAGCACTGTGACCCAACTAGACATGAATCCATGGAATATGTCTTTGCTCAAACACATGACGTTTAGCCGCATTTAATCAAAGCAAACCTCAGCGATAGAAGAAAATGTCTCGATCAAGAAGTCCTTTTTATGGGCACTGGAGCAATGTCAAAAACATAGCTGTCAGTGAAGTGTACCTCAAGGTCTTTTCACTGTGCATGTTGGCTGAGAATCCCCCAAGTTTAACTATTTTTCCACTCCTAGGTGACTAAAACAAAGATCCTGAACTCTGCAGGTGGCTCTCCACAGCTGAGTGCAGAAAGCTGGCCACTAACTCAGTGCCATACCTCGCTGTTGTACAGCCAGAGCCGCATGTCCTCCTCCTTGATGCGCAGCCTCTGGGACAGGTACTCGTGGATGTCCTTGATGGTGGCCATCCTGCTGAAGCAGCCAGTGTATGCCAGGACACGCTTCAGGGGGGCGTTCGGCGAGGGAACGTTACCTGCGCGCGGCACAGCAGCGGGACTTTGAGATATATTCCGAAAGCTTGCTGTTCTTAGTGTTTCTCTTTATTGTTTTTTCCAAGCATGTGTAAAAAAGACATCCCATAAGCATCACTATCTACTATAAAGTACAAACGAAGGGAAATTACAAAAAACAAATCACAAACAGGGCTTGATTAATCAATGTTTAAAGGATGTTACTTGTGTGGAAGGGTCAGTGGTGGGGCTAGTGGCCACGGTCAGCAGTGGAGCTAGGGGCCACAGGTCAGCAGAGGAGCTAGGGGCCACGGGTCAGCAGAGGAGCTAGGGGCCACGGGTCAGCAGTGGAGCTAGTGTTAACAGTGGGGCTAGGGGCCAGGGGAGCTATTGGTTAAGTGTCAGGATTTAAAGGTAGGGTTAGGTCTGGAACTATGGTGAGGACTGCAAGTTAAAGTGAAATCTACAGCGAGGGGTACAGCAGAAACAGCGCCAACCTTGGATTTATGTAATTTATTTTCTTCATTTGTAAGTTTATACTAAAAGATATTCTACTTCATATGGAAAACAATCCCGGAAGTGATCATTTCAGAAGTGTCAGGAGTCTGGGAAAGTATATTAGAACTCCTGTACAAAACTTTCATGCGCTATCTTCTTCTTGTTTTTTAAACCCAGAAAAATCTACTTGGCAAATAACAAATTACTTTCGTAACGCATACCTGTCTGATTTATCCTCTGTACATCTACATAAATCAGAAATATGCCTGAAGCATCTATTGAAATTAAGGTAAGCCTTACAGAGTGCTAGGAAAGATCCCCAGTGATTAAGGGCAAAGGACCTAGTTCTGTCATTCGGATTTCAAAAGCAAAAACAAAATTCTAAACACAAAGAAACACAGATTAGAAAGCAAACATAATTAAGGAACAACATGTAGTACAGAATCTGAAGTATCAAGCTTCAATTTTGTAAAATGATAAACACAAAAAGAAACATTTTGCAACAATCTTCGGCAATCAACAATGAGGATTAGTTGTAAGGTAGCAGCAAGAAAGAGCACGAGCCAATCAAAAATGATTCGTCAATACATTAGTGCATAAAAAAATCATATTTTACTCAAATAAAACAAAGTAAGTGATTAGATTGCATAGCTCAAAAAAGAACAAGGTTAATCATCTGAAAAATATAGAAGTCAAAACCCAGTTTGTATGATTGATTTGCTGGTTTTGCATATTTAAAATCCAAAATTAAAAATTCTATATGCCCATCTCCGCCTGAATAAATGCTGAAAGGACAGTGATAGCTTCTTTGTGATTGTTCACGATGAAATTATAGTGGGTAGTATAACACTCCCTTCAAAGCCCAAACAAATCTGCAGTGCAAGATTAATATGTATTGCTGCTGATATCTGTTTGAAACCCTGAAATAATGATTGATATGCACCCTACTCATTATATACTAATGGTGCAATTATTTTTTTTTTACTGGAGAGATCACGATGAGGAGAATATCACCGTTTCTGCCTGTTGTAAATGAATGATTTTGTCATTTAATGAAATGCAGCTATCCAATTTTCAGACAGGGCTGAACGGCAGGAAAACGATTTAGCCTCAGAATTTTTTCACTACTCCACTGTATGGGTCTTCACTCACAAATTAGAGAAGTGGCATACTGGTATTGCATCTAAGATACTAATGAACTGCAAAAGTTGCAAAGATATTTGAAACACAAATCAGGAAGTCATCAGCATCGCAGTGCTTTATATAACGATTCTTGTGTTTATTTTGGGGTGTTTGCATTGTGCAAGCTTTGTGGCTTGCCAGATCGCAGGAGCTGTCTCCTTCTTGCTGCAGTCTTACATTACCTCTGGGCACATGCTGTGGAAACATTCTCAGGCTGGTCATACCCATATTGACCCAAATGTTTGACTGTGGCGTCCGGGCTGCAGGCTGCTGCCGCAGAAAGAGGAGGTAGCGAGGAAAAAGCTCCAGCTCTGCCTGGCCAGTCTTCACCTGTTTGATGACCTGGCGACGGTTTGAGAGGAGGAAAATACAGACCGTCAGAGCCCAACGAGTGCTGTTTAACCGAAAGCTATTCGAGAAACAGCTCCTGCTTAGGGAATGACTAGGGTGCACTAAGTGCTTCATGCTTAGATCCAAATCTAATCCAGGTAACAGCATTTAGTAGGTGCTTTAGCAGCAGGGACAGAACATGCATTTAATATGTACCCAGATTAGTACTTAAGAAGAGAAGTATCACCTTGACTAGGACAGTCCTGCACTCAGGCCTATAACAGTCTTATTTACTGGTGCCATGATACCTACCGGCCTTGGTAAGCTAAGGTTGGCTCCATACCAGTGATAGAGTGCTCGCCACACTGGTTCAGGCACCGTTTTAAAGTCCCTGTCTTGAACGAGATACGGAGAGCGTTTCAGTCGCCCCCCTTCCATCGTGAGCGTAGGAGCCTGGAGGAAAGCAAAGCAGATCGAAATGAGCACTTTTGTAAACAAGATTTTTATTCTAATTAAAAATAATGAAGATTCACCTGAGAAATCTCCCAGCCCTGCCTTGGTTTCCTTCTAAGACCCAATGAGATCAGGCTATGAGGTGGTAAAGCTGCTGTTAAGAGATCGGAACCTACCTTTAATGGCTCCTGTGTGACCAGAGGCTGGTTATCGATGGCTCCTGGTTTCTGTACTGTGAACTGGGATAACATGTTTCCATTTGCTCCCAGGAAGCACTGGTTATTGTTGTCTGAAGCATTGTGCTGTCGAGCAAAGCATACATCCGTCCCTGCAGCACTTGAAGGAATGACACCTACAAAAAGAGAGAAGATGACAGCACAGAAACTGTTTGGGCATCATCAACGAAACTGTTTGGACATCATCAACATATACTTGTGATACTTCTCAAGCCTTGATCGTACATTTTTATTATTCTGAGTTTACAAAAGTGCTTTGCTTTATGTTGGACAGTATTCAAACATTGAATGGAAAGAGGTTTGGTTTTATCCAAGCAGGGGTGTGGGGAGTTAACAACTCCCCTGTGATCAGCTTCAGACAGAGCTCTTTCACACATGATTTCCAAAACACCTCATGCAGAGCTTCAGCATTAGCAAAAGACCCTTAAAACAGCAAGGCTGAAGTCATAGGGAATACCTCTAAAACATATTAAGATCTCACAGCAAGCTGACAAATTAATGAAAGAGAGCGATTAAGACGGCCACTGTCAACAGTAGGATCCGGTGTACTTCTTATCCATCTCTAATTGTCCCTCACTTTTTTTTCCTTTGCCAAAGTGCTTAAAATACCAAATGAAAACAAATAAACATTTCCAAACATAAATAGTTTAATTAAAAACAAAATTTCAGAGTACTGCCAGACAACACAATCCCTGCATGAATCACCAGATAACTACAATGGTGATTGCAATCTTCTTGATTTTGGGCAATATAATAGCTTTTACTGATAAAGGGCCTTTCCAAACTCAAGGACACTATCCATAGCGATAAAAAAGACAAAAAGTACTATAAAAAGTAAAAGAAAATAAATAATCAAGAGCAAACATGTTTATACATCTTGAACGGTGGGTAATCAGTGATAGTGATAGAGCTTGGGTGGGCAGGGGGTCTCTCCTTGCCTCTCCTCAGGCTGGTAATGAGGGGGACTCAAAGCTGACTCCTCTCCTCGGGGTCTGTGTCGATGAGGTACTCACTGCTGCTGGAGGTCTCGGAAGCCTCTGAGGCGCTCGAAACGTTGTCGCAGAACTTGTCCTCGGAGGAGCTGTGGGAGCTGGCCATTCCTGCCTTGTCCGCGGGCGGCTCCCCGGCGGCGCCAGGCGGGGGGCCCCGTCCCACCCCCGCGAGAGCCGGCTGCTCCACTACTATGGGCTTATTATCCTGAGGAAGGCGGGACAAGGCACAGCAACGTGTTCCTTAATGCAAGAAGAAGCCATTTCCCATTCGTAACCCTCTGAAATGTCCTTTGGTGAAATACCATACTTAAACAAAGTTACTTCTGAGTAAAATAGAGTGTAACACGTTTCCTGTTATGAATCTCTTCTAAGTCACTTCAGCCCTGACCTTTTCTTTTCATTTTACAGTGTTATGTTGTGTCAAGGCCCAAGAGAGTACACCTTTGCCGGAGTGCAGAAACACTCCGGAGTTCGGGGCGCTGTGAAAGAAAGATGAAAGCAAGGTATTTTACAAAAAATGAGCAGAAAAAAAAAACTTATTATACTTAAGATTCCTTCTAAGGCACTACATAGGCTCCAGTACTTGCAGAATTTTGTGGCCTGCACACTCCATGAACACTGTTCTACTTTAGTGCATAATGTCTGCTGTGTATAAACTGTAGTGGGTGCCTAAGGACTTTAAGGTCCCCATTGCTTATATTATAAGGCACTGAATATTCTTGCCGAAGTTACTTTATGAACATACTGTGCAATTACGGACCAAAACCTAATGTGAGGTCTGCTGCCTCAGTTCCTCTCATGGGTGATGGAGCCCGGTCTTGTGCAGTATCAGGAGTATGGAACTCACTGCACAAAGCCATAAGGGAGCCTGCAGCTGTGGATACTGCATGTGCTTCAAGTACTGTATGTACTGTACCGCATGTACGGCCAGCATACTGTGAAACTCGGCTGTCCTCTTCCGAATCTGGATGACTGATATGTCTGCAGGTTTTCAAGCTCTTCATTAAAAAAGAGAGCTAGAAGAAGCAGATAATTCTGACAGCAATTTACCCAGCAAACAGACAAACAGACAGATTAGATTAAGACGTTTAGATTAAGAGCTGAGATGGGATGAAAACCCACAGACACACCAGACCCCAAGACCAGGACTGGACACCCCTGGTGTTACTCTTTTTAGTACTTACTAGGTGTTTCACATGTATTATTTTGTGCATAGCTTGGGTGCCTTCATGATTACTTTCATTATTGAGACCCAAATGTCACATCACTGTTCTAAGACTAGGGTGCCCTGAAAGAGGGAAGAGTTCAACAGAATGCCTTGCTGGAATGCAAAGCGCAGTGTCCTTTATTACCAACTTTGAGCTTCCAGAATTAGCATAATGGTCTGCTTGTACCGAAGACACAATACTGCGATGATTGAGGAAAGAAAAACTCCCCTGCTGCTCTGACGAATGATGAAATCAGTAAATGACTCAAGTGTGTGAACCAGCCATGCCTGTACATTTCAGGTCATAGTATGCGTCTGGAACTGCAATGGGTTGCAACTAAGGCTGTTCAGAAAGGGAGGTTCAACCCTACAGGTGTTGCAGGTTTGAGCCCAGGCAATGTCATAAGGTAGGATTCCCCAAGGGGCCATGAATAGGGTGCAGAGTTCTGCTGGGGATGGGCTGGCGGGACTAACAGCAACCTATGTGACCTGGCAGTCACCTGTGAGCTTGCGGCGTTGTCAGCGAGAGCTGCACACGGCGTTAACCTTCTCGCTGTAGCATGTATCCGTTCACCACACCCTGTAGGGGTACAGCGTGTGGAGAACAGCTAACACAACCTGGATTGCTGGGATCATTCAGGATCCCTACCATCCAGGCCACAAACTTCTCCCCCCTGCGCCCTGCCAAGTGGCAACTGACCAGTAGACTTATGAACCACTTCTAGTCTACCCTACTATCATACGCATCCTTAACAGCTAACTTCAATGCATGTCTGCATTATGCACTTCTTGCAAGGTCTACCATGTTTTTTTTCCCCACTACTCCATATTTATTTATTATGTCTGTAATGCACTGCCTACATTGTGTGGTGTTGTCTGTCGCACTATGCTGTCTCTCAGGTGTGCTGAGCTCACGGCCTCCCGGCAAGTTCCAAAACGTGCAATGACATCAGATGGAAACGTCATTTCCATTTACGGATGAAAAAAGGAGTAACAGAAAAGGGAAGTTCCCTCCTGTTGTTAAGGAAGAGCTCCTACTCACATATCTGACGTACTCCTTCCACTGCTGCCACCACTGCATAGAGATGAGGAACCAGTTGTGGGCCGGGTGGAGCCCATGCCGGCTCTCGCGCTCCAGCCAGCCCCTGCAGGACACGGAGACCCGGGATGAGGCGGTGACCTAGGCCAGGCTTTCAGCTCCCACTATTAACAGGTCTTGTGCAAGTAATGACATTACTCCCGTCCTGGAGTCCTTGCACTGGCTTCCTATCAGATTTAGTGTCAACTTCCAAATCCACGTGTTCACCTATAAGGCTCTAAGGTTTGGCATGTCAGTCCCCATCTGGCTTACTATCGCCCTACTCCCCACCTTGCAACCTTCATTCTTCTCCATACTATGGGTGACAGGGCCTTCTCCTGCTGCGCCCCAGAGCTCTGGAACTCTGTTCCCAAGGATATCAGAGAGTCCCCCTCCTTGAGCGCTTTCGAATCAAATCAAAACCTTCTTCTTTAGAAGGGCTTTTATTTAACTGGTTCTGTATCTGCCCCTTTGCCTTCCTACCGTAGTCCAAACCATTACTGTAATTGTGTAATCCTGCCGTCTCCTCTCATTGTATACTTTTTTTTCCTTTTTGTAAAGTGCTTTGAGAAGTGTCTGTAAAGGCTCTATAGAAAATAAAGTTTATTCTTCTTATTATTAGTAGTAGTAATGGGACTGGAGGAAGGAGTGGTGCTGAGCCCAACAAACTCTGCAACTGCAGCAGTGAATACAGGTCTCATTATGCCCCTCCCCCACCCCACCCCCTCTACACCTCAAGCAGTGAAGAAATCTGCGCTGCAGAAAGTAGGTCAGGGCTGCTAGAAAGCGTTACCTAATAATCTGTCCTTCCTCCTCTGGGGTGGCAGGTCTCAGGCCAAGGACAATGTGGCACACCTGCGAACAGTGAAACAAACCAGCGAGAATCACAGCAAATACCTGCAGCCTGGCCGGGGTGGACTGAACAGGACCGGGGTGAACCGGGGGATTTTACCTGAAAGAGCAGGTTGAGAAACTCGTTGGCAAGCGCACTCTTCACACTCCAAATCTGATAATCCTCCAGGGTCAGATGTCCCAACTGGAAAAACACACATGAGGCCAGAGTTCACCAGCTAGAAACTACAGTATTCCTCCACTGGGTCTCTGTCTGAGTCTCTCTGAGAGAGGGCCTGACAGAATTAGCACATTGTAACTTTCAATACAGGATTCAAGCTATTTTTTTTTCTAAATTTATGCACCACAGCCCGGGGGGGTTTTGAAGAGGAGAACAAACCAGTTCCAAAAGAACACAAGGCTCAGCAGATTTCTGTGGCACCATACTGTTCCTAATTTTCCCTTTTCCAGAACATTTTAAGCCTGCATCAAAGGAAACTACCATGAAAAAAACACAATAATTATCACGAGTGTAAAAATGAACAGAATACAAATATTTCTCTGCTTACATGTTTCATCAGGCACAATTTGGCATTAACTTTCTTAAGAAAAAGAATGGGCAAATTAACAGGGTTATCTTAATGAGATGGAATCAAATAACGTTTCACCTTAATGAATTAAAAGTTGATTTAAATAAAGGAAAACAAACATTTTCTGGAAATGTGTTCTTTACCCCACCCATGATGCTGTAACTCTTACTTTGGTAGTATCATGTAACTTCAGAATGTCGTCAACAATGTCAGACACGTCAGAGTTCAATTCCTAAGGAGATAACAGGTTATTTAAATAATGTTAATCTGAATCGAATGAATCAATATTTAGAGCATGCACACTGCATAGTTAACAGTTAAAGTCCTCTGAAATATGAAAAGCCTGCTCTTTTTTAATGGGTGTTTAAAAAAAAAAAGTTATTGTTCACAAAGACACCTGCTATTAAGAGGATTGTGTGTTGTTGTACTCTGACATCAGACAAGTGGTAAGCTTAGCTTCCTGTGGTTTTTACTTGGTAAAATCATTCAGCTCTTCCAGTATGGGGGGTGTGACGCAGCACACTGATTTGCAGTGCAAGGTCACGGGTACGAGGGCAGCAGGCTTACCGGAACGGTGTCGGTGCGGTTGTCCTTCCACACCTCCAGCAGGGCGACAACCATTTCCTCAATCTCGCTGCGGGACAACGCGCCGTCGCGGTCCACATCGAACACTTTGAAACAAACTGCGTTGAAGGAAAAAAAAAAGATGATCATTAAAATGAGTGTCAGTAAGAGCCTGTCAAGATCAAATGCCTGATATACAAGAGGCGTCCTTAAATACAAGACAATCCCATTCATTTCACTGCAGCTCTATAGTAAATCTTCCTAATTGAGTTAATTAACCATGAAATAATCAATTAAAGAGCTGAATGTACCAAACCCTTGAAGCAGAACTGACAAGAAGTTCAGGTATTTGTGCAAAAGGGATACATAATGTTAACTCAGAATGCAAATGACATATATCAGAGTTTTAACTCAGTGCACTATTAAACTTTGCAGTATTTATGTCATCTGTTTAGAATTGTTGGCAATTACAACTTGGGCTCAAAGGAAAGATTGAGTCAACCCTGGGGATTTAAAATCTACTGGAATGCCCACAAGCTGATGGAAATGCATAACTTTCTTCATAGGGAACTGTAACAAACCCATTACTGTACTTACACTTCTGCCTCTCAGCCAGAGGCCCCCTGCAACATGCTGAAAGCCCACAGGAGATCTCCTTGAAGTCAATGTGATTGTCACGGTTTTCATCAAAGGCATGAAACAATCCTGAAAAGGGAGAGCAAAAACGTCAGCCTTCACTCACCGCGCTCTGCAGTATAGCTTCAAAACAGGTAAGTAGTGAAAAGGTCTTTGGATAGACTTTCATATCAAACCATTTCTCTTAACTAAGCCTACTGGAAAAAAAACTTAAAATGATGATATCGAGTCAAGAAGCAGTATCTACAGGATTTTCTCAAACCTGTATGGAAGTATTCAATTTAACGAGTTTAATTAGGTAATTAGCTCTACTGTAATTGCTGAGAGCATGACGGAAAAAGAAGCCTGAAGGCACCACAGCCATCCTAGTCTGCGCTGCACCATCTTTGCATAAGTTCACAGTTAAAGAATACATCTTTGTTGTCTTTGATTTTGCACCTTATTAAATTTCCAGAGGCTGCTCCCAGAAAGGTGGCTGAATCTTTGGTGAGGCTTAAGGTGTTAGCAGAATTGTGTTTTGATTGCACAACATACTGAGCTAATGTCTCCTTGTGGATGATTCTAATCATGGTTTTCAGCATCTTCCTTATCTGTAATCATTATGATAACTATGATGTCATGAAAACACTAGCACATGCGCCAGAATCTCAAAATCCACAGCGGAATATATATTTTCGTGAAGATCCATTAAAATGAAGCATGCTTTGAACATTACTGAGTAAGCACGGAAACCTTCAGGAAGTGACTCTGATGCTGGAAAAGCAGTGTGTGTTGCAGGTCCTGGATACCAGCTGGGGCAAAAAAGGATTGAGCAATCAAATGGTGTTTGTTGTGGATACTGCACATTTCCAGGAACAGCCAACACAAGGCGTTCCGTACAAAAGGAAAAGTTTCTTTGCTTTTGCTTTTCACTTGAGCACAGGGTTCTGTTCCGCACTTCTGCAGATTGTGGTGCAACTGTATAATTTGTAATTTTTTAACACCGTTAAAACAAAGGATACTTCTCCAGCTGTAGCACTGCTGCTCAAGAATCCCACAAATACAGCTAAACCATACAAAAGAATCAGGACAGAGAACTCAGAAGAAATTCAGCAGAGAGCAATTGTTTCTTTCCAAAAAAATTATCAAACATTCTCTATGGCTTTGACACACGATTGCTTCCAGCAGAGACTTGGAAGTCAAAATTAAAGAGTGGCTACCAAGGACTTTTTGATCCTCAGAATGAAAACTGTTATATCAATGCAAGCAATTACAATTATTATTAAAAGGAAGATTGCTAAGATTGCTACCAGTGACGACCAGAGTGATTAGTGCATACAGAAATGTAAACAAGGTTAAAGGTCTTGAAACACCCGTGGAATTTAGTTTATTATTAACATCCATTTTGCTGACCAAAATCCATCTCACTCAGCATACGCACCTGTATGTGATATCATAATTACTGCAATGCACAGTTACAATATCCATTACAGCAAATGCATTAAAAGCTTAGTTCAGAGCTTTGATCTCATATAAAAATGCTTTCAGTCGACAGGAAGAGAATATTTCTTTAAAAGATCTGCAATGCTAATTGTCTTGCAATAAAAAATAATATGCTACAAATTATATTTTAATTTGCCTAGATATTTAAAAGAATAATCTAAAGGCATTAACTGTTTACATTGGAAGAAGGTGATGATTTGATAAATGTGTAATACAGAGGTTATCAACGTCGATTAACAAAATGTTCACATCCGACAAGAAACTTTGCTTCCTTTGTTAACAAGATGCAATTAGTCATTAGCAGAGGTAATGCACTTGGAGGCTAATGACATGTTGGTTAATATTCTGATGCTATATTCCAATTTAGAAACACCAAAACTCAATTTTTAACCACAAATCCAATGATTATCATTTTATTTTGGTATATGGAGGTATAATTCCTTGGCTGCAAGACATCAAGACTTGTTAGATGATGTACTGTATACAGTGTCTTAAAATCCTGAGGCCACAGTGCGACCGCAGAGTCAGATTTGTCAGGAGGTGCATGCACACCCTTTGCTGGGGAAGGATTTTCTCTTCCAGCTTGAAATAGGTGGAAAATGACTCTTTTAAGTGTCCCGGAGCAGCACGGCCCATCCTGCTTTACCTTCGCTGAGAGAGGTGTGGATAGGGGGCGAGACCAGGGGGAGGAATGTCTCCAGGTCGAACCGGCCTGTCCGAGACTGAGCCTTCAGCAGCCAGTAGCGCTTCTCCAGGTCAATGATGTCGGACTCTTCCACTGCAAAGACAACGTGAATGAAGGTCAAACTTGAGGAAATGTATCCATGTCACTTAACTGAGGTTTACACAATAATTACGTGGCTGCTTTAGTCTATAACTATATGATGCATTTATCAACACTGCAAAAAAACAGTGAGAGAGCAGAACTGAGAGCGAACAGCCTATAGTTATTGAAGAGAATTATACGACTTCAGGGTTAAACCTTCCTTATTCATCTCTCACCAATATAATTTCAAACCCTGAAGCATAAAGACATAATACTGGATTAACACCTGCTTTTTTGGAAACGGAAGAAAGACCGAAAACACAAAAAAGGGTTGTTCTGCAACATTTTGTTTTGCACTGAAGCAGTTTGCCTTCACTGTGTTTACCACAGATGAGATGCTTTATGTGGGAGTTGGAAGAACCAGTTAGAAGCAAGGTCAGGTTCTATAAACGCTTAACAGCTCTCCTTAAACACAGGAGAGCTGTTTTTTTTTTTGTCCTGCACTTCAGAGACAACCTACACGTGAAACTGGAGATATCTGGAGGAAATGTAAAAATAAACCTTTAGGAAGAGCAGTGTATAGGCACGCCTTGTAATACCACGCCTATCTTCGGTATTTTACTGCCCTGAAGTGCAAGTAAGCACAATAGAAACTGAATCTGTAATTTAGTGAAAGTGCCTGCCTCCTCCTACTGTATGGTGGCTGAGCAGCAGTGGATAGAGAACACAGCTGCGTGGGGCTCTTCAGTCGATTGCTCTTTCATCAAGTTAATCCACAGCTTATCCTAATAGGATTGCTGGCAGAGCTCTTTTTGACAACTGAACACAAGGCAGGTATTCAATAAGAGCTAAAATCGCCCAAAATGGTGCACGGTCCAACGCGCAGGGCTGGAGCGCGGCAGATATTTTTTTTCCTCCATTCTTCGGCCACTTCGTGCCTTTCTGAAATAACATACCAGTTCAATAAAACCAACAAACCGCAAAGCGGCACTTGAAAACGAGTTTATCGCATTACAAATCAGGCCTTGAAAGGCTTGAAGCGAAGGGCGTTTGTTGATAACTGCGGCCTCCGTTACAATTAAACCAGTTTGTAAAGTCGGCAAAGCCAGACACGGAGGTCACAAATCACGAGAAACGGCTTAAATACACCATGAAAATGGAAAACAAAACAGAATCAAATTTGACAGAATATTTAAACAAGCATCAGCTAGCATTCACGCTTGTGGACTCTTTTAGGGGATCTCTGTGTCCGAGTTGGGGTTTCTCTTTTAGGCATTAACAGTGTCCATTATGAGCTTGATCTGCACAGATACGTTACAAACCTTGGGTTAAATAACCCACACAAAACAACTACAGCAGAATTATTAATTATACTACTGATCATTTTCTTTATCGAGTGAAGTGGAAAAAATCCAATAAGAGTTATTAAACAAAAACAAGCAGAAGCAAATCTGTAGGAAAATAAATACATGCTCATCTCATTAAGCGTTATTCATGGCCTGTTCACAACACGATGACTATTAATCCATAAAACCCATTACCTCCAGTACAGACCTGCGTTATCAGGCATTAATCTTTCATTCTCTGCACCGAAGATGCCTGACTTCTATTTTCTGACTTCTCTCCAATGTAAAAAAAAAAATCAATTATATTGCGCCTGCATCAAAGCAGGATTCTGTAATGTTTTTCTAAATGGCAAGCCGATTGTGTAAAGCAAGGCTGCAAATGACACTGTTCTAACTGGTAGAAGTATTATCAGCTCTAAAATCACCATACATAGCATAACTCCACTAATGACTTTTTTTTTTACAAAATCTCCACAAATATACAGGCTTAGAAGGGAGAATGAAGAATCTATTCAATTCAAAAAGAATCTAATTTTTTTATACAGAATGAAAGTGCAATATTAGTCCAACACGCACTTTCTGCCGAGGAAACAAATTTGATGCCGGTATGTTTTAAATGGAACTGATCATTACCAATATAAAGACGCCGTTGGTTGATCACGGCATGCCATCATTTCAATAACACCGTTCTTCGCATCAAGAGCTTCATGTTCATAACGATAAAGCCATTATAAGAAATACAGCCCTTGAGTAAATGACACTAGAATGTTAAAACACTTGGGGAACAGCAGCCAGGAATGATGCTAAAGATTGAAATAATGGAAAACCAAGTGGTTCGTCTATGCACCTCTAGTAAACTAGAAAACCGTTTGACCATAAGCACTCAGAACGCTTCACACAAAGACTAAACCACTGAACCAATCAGTGTAAGCAAGGGGTTCCCAGCCTTGGTCCGAGAGGAACACCATGTCTTTTGTTTTCTACGCCACCTGAGCTCACATGCGTACTGATTTTAAATTTGCTTTAGGCTGTTTAAAGGTTAAATGGTACTGGTAACGGGCATCATCCCTGCACCCATTTCTGAGTTTCAGCACCAGTCTCATTCAGGAGTGCATCCTAAAACGTGACCAGTTCGACCTCTACAGAAATAAAACCACACTAACGGAGGGAGTGGGATACAATTTTATTCCAACCTGTATCAGTTCATCACCAACCTGATCAGCTAGCGAGAGCTGTTGATCAAGAGGTACATCAGCAAGAAAGCTGAAGAGAGACAGTGTAAAGGCCCGTATGCTGAAGTTGTTGGAAAACAGCATCTGTGAATCTGGGCATTTCTGATACTCAGGACTGACCAAAGAAACAAGATAAATAAATGTCTGAACAAGCAAGCAGATCCATTAAGTCATCAATAGGCACCGGAGAGGGAGAGCTCCGATAGAATGAGAAGCAGCAGATACAGTGTGCTTCCAGGGCTAGGAACTACTGGTTTCCAGAATGGCTCAGAAGAGAATTAAGTACCGGGTAAATATACACCACTTCCCCCACAGTCCTCCAAAATTACAGCTACTGTAATGCTTACAAAACAAATACGGCTACTGTAATGCTTACAAAAACAGCCATGACAGTCAAAGGTTTTCAACAGCAGGGGCTCTGTGGCACTTAAAGGCACAAACCATCTTTCAGAAATTCCAAACCCGGAGACAACTTTAATTCTATGTACTAAGAATTACAGCAAATCATAACGATAAATAATAATTGATGCTTCCAATGTTTTATTAAGTGTGCCACAAATCAGTTTATTTTTGCTTAGTGCTTATTATTATTTGATCAATTTGATACATTTCATATTAGCAGTGGAGGTGGTAAAGAAAGGGTGGAAATTATGTAAGGCTGACTGACTCTCAGTTATTTTCCAAAAGTGATGCAGTTCATGCTCAGATGCATATACCTTCTCCACCTAAGCAAATTCAACTTTTATGTCTGTCTCATAACTGATGAAACTGCCATTCAATAAGAGGCCTGAGAGCCTGCATACATTTCAATACATTTCAACCCACCTAAAGGAGCAATTCTGTCAGGCTCACAGCAGAAGAAGCATACCATATTCCAACATGCTTGTCAAAAGAAATGTTGCTGGGTTTGAGGTGTACCATAATAAATCTTCACACAGGAGGTCAGTCCTGAAGACAATCTGCTGTCTCTGAGCAGTCCATGTGCCACAAAAGCACCAGCATGTAGCCACCCCTTCTTGATTTTACAATTAGCTCCTAACAATTCCTGGCCATTTTAGAACCTCCACTGAGGAACGCTGGCCCACCGCGCTGCCTACACAAGCAATATTCCTGTAAATGTACACAGCCCTGGGAGATAAGAGGATAATAAGGTGACGGGCAGCAGATTACCACTCTGCAGGATATCTTTCTGATTGGCCTGTGACAGCGCTCTGTTTAGGTCTTCAAAACTCTGTCCTTAAGTGACAAAAAAAAAAAACAGTCTAAAATTACCCACGACCATGAAAAACATTCTCATGATGAAGTACCTGTTTACTCTCATCAAAAGTCATTGTAAGTTTTCTATATGAGAATCAGAAATGATTCTCAAACAGCATATGCCCCTGAAAATATGCGACAGTGGGGAAAAATATTAGTATAATGCAACGCTCCAGACAGTGATTAACCAGGTCCCAAAGCCAACCAAACGATACAGTATCTTCAGTAACTGCTTTTTGTAACTCAATGATGTTGGCATCCACAACTCTATAACAGCGCTTATGTATCAAGACGAAATTGTGGACAACTGAGAAGGACAACACCCCCTCAATTCCTACAAAGAAGAAAAATTAGTGATGGGAACCCCGCCCAGGAATCTACACAACAGTCTTCAGACACTCCCAAAAGACAAACGTGACACCTAGCAACTGAACTGAACAAGTTTTGGTCTGGGAGCCTTTGGTTCCTTGAAGAAAAAATTTATATTGAGGGAGAAGGTGACTTGAAAATACAGCTTTACAAACCTCCTGCACTTCATCGTGATTTCTTACTTGGCCACTGTCACTTATTTGTCCAACTCCCTCAACCTAGTAATGCAGTCTCTGTAGCTGTCTGACAGCGTTCAATTTTAAAAAGTGCTTCTTATTATCATTTCCTTACTTTGCAGGGGTACTTTTTTAAAGATCTTATTCTTATACTTTTTCTTGTTGGGCCAGAAGCACTTTCCAGCCAACAGAATCTCAGAGTTTATGTTCTCAAGCATTTATCAGCACTAATTCACTGAATGCCTTCTTCCAGTTTGGAGATTTATAATAATCTATTGTGGCCCCACACAATGTAATTGCTCACAGGGCAGTATTTTTATATTGTTCTTTCATACAGCGAAATTAAGTTACAGTGCCAAACCACTTGTTTGTACCCTTGCTTATTGTTTAATGTCTTACAGACAGGCTGCATGCTGTAGTGATGACAGAGTACGTTGCTGCAAGTGCTGAGGATCCCCAGGGAAATCACTGAGCTACTTAACTGTGACAAAATGACCAGCCTGGCCCCGGTCAGCCAGGAGCAATGCAAAGCTGCCCCTCTCTCTCTCTCTCTGTTCATTTGCCGATCAATTTTTCCTGGAGAACTAGGTGCACAGAAACTAGATCCACTCTTTTCCATCTGCTCCCCCTTCTCCTGCTCGTGGAAAAGGAGCTGAGGAAATCCTATCAAAAATGTGTGCATTACTTTTAACTCCACGATTTAAAAAAAAAGTCTATATAAAAATATAAAAAGCCCAAATTATAAATCTAATTTGTATGTAACACTGAGATGTGTTGGTAGTGGGTGAGTTTTGGAGATGTTTTCCGTTTTCACAGTTTTTTTTAACAGGAAATCATAAAAAAACAAGATGTACAATGAAACAAAATTTCTTTTTTGGAAAATAAATCATTGGGCAGAAATAGTTTAGCTCAGTTAACACTGTTTAGCCTTAGAAACATCCTCGAGATGGGGTAAGTGGTAGGTTTCTGCCACTTCTGAAATCAGGCAAGGCCCTTGCGTTACATGGGTCTCAACAAACACCTCTGTCATGATGAGTGGCACACAAAGCACTTAATTCTTTGATACAGCAAAGCTGCAGTTAGAGCAAAACTCCATTCCCAGTCATCCTTGCAGTCAAAATGACAAATCTGACAGCCCTGTCAGATTGCACGCAGTGGAGAAAAACTCAGGGGTGGCATCAGATGACGTAAGTGGCGTGTCCCTGATGCCAGAATCTGCAAGCTCCAAGAATCTGTCTGGCATGCAAGCGTGTGTATGCTCACTTAATTCTGCAAACACATCATATTAAATTGCGGTTGATCGTGTACATTTTGCATTGCAGACTAGACTTTAAACAGAAAGTTAATACAGCAGCGAACAAAAAGCCAAGCAGACCAGCGCTATTAATTTAATCTTTTTGTCTTGTCATTCAAGTTGCCGACATGCGTGATTTTAAGCATTTAATACAGCAACGGCTGTAGGACTGTCTTCTCCCCATAGCAGGAATTCATAATGAAGAGAGTGTGCAGAGAGGGAAATAATGGTAGCCTGTCTCTTGTAATTATTACAAAGAGATACATCTCTCAGGAGGGTAGCACTCACAAGCATCTCATATCTGACACGGAGAGAGAAATGATTCGGACAAAGCAGCACTCAAAGAGACCTAAAGCAGCTGAACAATTTCACAGCTAACTGGGAAAATCTAGTTGATCAGAATGAGGGATCTCTCCATGACCATTGATTTTTTTTTTTTATCCAAGTAAAGAAGACATGTGATATAAGCATAAGCAAGAAACCTGAAACAAATATCCGACGTTTTGCAAGATCAGTAAAAAGAAAAAGAATAAGAAAAACTTAGGGGGGAAATTCTTCACCAGCTGGGGCTGAGCGAACATTAACTCTGAATCGACTGGCTGGGCTTTTCCTGTTCTGCTCAAATCTGGCTTGGTGATAAACACTGTTAATACTACAGAGGAAGTCATGATGTATTACTGACATAAGGAGCAAATTTAACATTGAAAAATAAATGCTGTTGTCACATCCAAGACATAGGCATGTCCCCATCAGTTCTAGGGTCAGTGATACCTTTAATGGAGAAAGAGCAGCTTCAGAATCTGTGGCAGTGCCACAATAAACACAAGTTTAAATCGTTGGCATTATACCCGATTAAAAATCTTTTTCAACATGGATCTCTTCTCTATAGTATACTGGGCACAGAGGGAAAAGCTGATACTCTGCCTATTTTCTTTTTCTAAACACAATTTAGCAACACGGTGGAGTGTAGTGGATTCACTGGCTTCTCAGAAACATTCCTTCCTTCAGACCGATTTTAGACGGGTTAGGCGCTGAAACTGGAAATGACGAGCTCGGCTGGAGGGCACGCCAACACGGGAGACGGAGGCAGAAGCACAGGGCGGCCGGAGAGACTCACAGTGCGTGACCCCGGCCAGAGTCTGGTAGAAGGTGGGCGTGTCGCTGTCGTCGGTCAGGGTGACGCACACGCCGCCGGACAGCAGCCAGCGGGAGAACGTGAAAGCCTCTTTGTTTTGGAGCAACCAATTCTTAAACTTCTCGTAGTTCACTCTCTCTCCCTAAAGAAAGAAAAAGGGGGCAGATGAATACAGAACCAGTGAAAGGACAGGTACACCAAACATCCCAAGCCGATTCAAAAAGTAGATGCATCGCATTTCAAAGCTTATGTGCTTTGCGAACGTTTTTTCTATAAGCGAAAGGAGCTTCATGGAAAGATGAGCCCCCCAGTCACAGTGGGGAAAGACAGTTACGTGAGTGACAACAATGTCCTTATGTCAGGGAGACAGCATTGTGTGATAACAGTCCCCCGTGTCGTGTCTGTTAAGCCTTCCCCAAGAACTCGTTCTGCGTTTTCTGGCATGTTAAGTCAAAACGGTTATTAAAAAAGGAAAGAATGCTGAGGAAAAGCACTACAAGGGGGAGGCTGGAGATGATTCTCTGTGAATTAGCAACCCCTGACTGCAAGCAGGTGGGCTGTGTGACCTTTTCATAGACTAAAACGCACAGAATGAGACCCAACAAGTCTTTCTAAAACCATACTGGGTGATCATATTGTATGGAGGTGTTTCGGGAGACTAGTAGAAAGTATGTCAGAGGTGTATCAGGTGGGTTTCCTGGCAGCTACTGGCAAGGAAGGTGAAGGGCAGAATCCACTTCTGATTGGAAATTAGTGTCCACACAGTTCGGCTTCAGACGCACAGAAAGGTCCGAGCTCACACACGCATGCATCAGGCAAAAACAGAAACAGTGGTGAGTGATCCGCTTAAACAAGAAAAGCTCCTGCTAATCCATTTATGAGAAATCCACGAACAAATTAAGCAACCTCCCAAGTTCAATAATTAAACTTCTTACAGTCCGATAGAACTAAAGTAAAATTATAATCGGTTATTGAGAAAATGCTGCTGAATTGCAAACCAAAAAACTTCAATAGACTTTTGTTTTATAAAGAGACAAAGATATGGGCACTTTCACTCTCGGCTAGTTAGCAAAGGGATGTTTTATTCATTTTGTTGACAAAACACCGCACAAGCTGTGCCCGAAGCCGAAGCAGAAGCACATTTTTAAAATCATTTAATTATATCCAATGTAATGATCTCTTTCACTGCAAGAGCTTCAACCGTGTTAACTTGTGAAGCAGATGACCAGAGTTTATTTTAGAAAATAAGAGGCTGGTGTTTATGCAGAGAACTATGGTTATTTGGGTCATGTTTTGGAAGCTAATTCACAGATGTTTCAACAGACAGCTTGCTTGCAGTCTCAGATCAATATCTAACTAGCAGGCAGATGATCAAGTTGTGCTAAGTTACCCCCTCTCATGTGGCCTTTCTTAAACACACGACAGAGAGCACACAGCATGAGAAACACTATCCCTGCAAGCAGCTGTAGAAGAGTTTCTGCTGGTAGCAGTGACAGGTCAGGATTTAACGTAAACTGAGGAACCCAACGAGAGATGAGGAGCGCGGGCAGGTTATTGACAACGGCCAGCTGACCTCTGTGAAGCACTTCCTGAGCGAGGGCGGGACTTCCCCGTCGACGGCTTGCAGCATGCTCTCCATGTCCTCCCGCACCACATAGCTGCCCGATTCGTTGGCAAACAGGCTGAAGATATCTGAAACAGCAACAGCAAATCCCCTGCCCGCATTAAAAACACACCTACTGCATCTCATCTCATCATCAGCTCATTTACCTGATGTCCCCCGATCTGTGCATTGAGCCCTCTTGAACAACATTCCATTTGAATGACAAATGATCCATGTGAAATTTTTAAAGGGATTACTTTTAACCAAAACTATACTGCCTACATTGAACATTTTTGTGGCTGAAAAGTTAAACATCAGCAAAAACTGCTAAGAAAAATTACAAACTAAAATGTGCTGATTGAATACTTGAATACAGAATCCTTTTGCAAGGCACTGTATGTTCCTTCACTGCTGTCTTTTCGGAGGTCAATCCGTCTTGACTTTGAACTGACGCTTATTTAAGCCGTATTAATAATAAAGAATAGTGGAGTCACACTCACTGACTCATGAAGAAAGAAAGAGAATGAGCTGGTTCAGAGGATACCAACCTACTGGCCATCTCTGAGACCTTCACACTTATTCGGCTTCTGCCTCATGACAAATGGGCACCAGAGGAATCACCACATTTACTATTCTGAGCTCGATGGAGCTTAGCAGAAAACCACATATCGAAGCCAATAACAGATAAGTTGCCGTGTGTGACCTTGGCAAAACATACATTTGTTTTTAAGCAAAGCAACTGTAGACCAATTCTTTGACTCGATAGCAAGAGCTTCAGATCTGTGAGCTGCGAGTGGAGACATTTCTGTTCCTGTATTTCACTCTATCTTTGCTGGGCTGGATCCAGTAAGTTGGAGGGGTGTCAAAGGCTCTCCTTCTTCCAAATCACCCCCACCCCTGCTGCTCAACAGATATCCACACGAGTAGGTCAAAGGTCATGTGTTTGGGACGCCCCCCGGTTATGAATTTTGAGGTTGCGCAAAGCACAGAATGCAGTCCAGCAGAGGAAATGCATTCCAGGCTTCCTAACATTCCAATAACATTCTGATGGGAGCAAGACAGGGAGACCAGCTGGCTGGCGGATTTTGCAAACATCTTGTTTAAAAGGTTTGAGTGCTTTCTGTCTCTCTCACTAACACCTGAAAAAGAAGCCCTCGCTGGTGAGCCTTTCTTTCTGCTTTTCGGCACGGAATTAATCTTTATTTGTATCTTTCTCAACAGACATGACAATAGACAGTACGCAAGAAAAAAAAGTATAATTTAAAGCAGCAGGGAACGTAGAGACAAACAGCTCTGAGGTTTGTCAGCAATAACTGCTGGTAATAAAAAAGAAGGATCACTCATACTCACATTTGGCTTTTTCTTCATCTCGGCCTCTTGTCAGTAGAACCAGTCCCACAATTAGATTGTTAAAATGTAGGCCTTTCGAAGTTCCTCCGAACGAGTTGTAGATTACCTAAAACAGAAAAAAAAGTTACTTGCATCCCCAAAAGCACTTTAAACTCACAGGACAAGAACATTCCTTATGAAAAGACACAATGAGAAGGTTAATTAAATATTTGGAAAAGAAAAATAGAAAAGCATTCAAGTACCTTGCCAAGATAGCATGCTTTTCTTTTGAAGTTACTTGATGGCAAATTTAAAAAGTTGACAACATTTTTTGAAAAACGTAACGCACAAAAACATTTTCACAATTTTGTTTTTCAAAAGCAGAATCAAAAAAGGAATGCCACTTGCGTATGGTAATATTGAAACCACAACAATAAAAAAGTGTTAGTCGTTAGTAATTATTTTTCCTTATTATGCAACTGCTGGGCCTGATAACATTCGCCACTGACACCTTCAGTTCTCTCCTCCAGCACAGAAGATAGAGGCTCAGCTGCTGTGAAAACCAAAAAGCTGGCAATATATCACTGAGCTGTTTCTATGAGTGTGCAGTACCAGTTTAAAAAGAGGTGATTAATCAATGAGCCGTTGTTATTACCGGGGTTGAAAGTTAGTAATCTAGAGCTTGCAGGCAAAATATTTAACAAAACTGAAACTTATATTTAATAGCCAAAGAAGGCCATTAACGCCAATTAAATCCAGAGGTTTCATCACAGGTGCAGAAAGGTCGAAGGCAATTTTGAAAGACTGCTGCAAGCTTCCAGAGGTTGTTCTGTGCTATTTAGAGTAGGCTCATGTCTTGCATGATTTCCTTTAAAGTGTTCATCTAAAAAATAAAGCACCTTATAAGACTTCCCCTACAAGATGGCTCCTCTGAAACATTGATCTCTGTCTCCATCGCTCTTCCACAGCCTCAAAACAGACTGTGATGATCCACAATCAGCAGGCTGGGAGAGACAAACAGCCGGTGTCATCAAGCTTATTTTCCTTTGGAAAATGGGAACATAAACTTCAGCCTTCACAAACAGCTTTCATTTTTAATCAAAACACACTGCGTTTATAAATAGCCTCCTGCAGGAAAAGGCGATGGGACAACTAACAGATGTACCTCCTGGCCATGCTGTCCGGGACAGCACCATCTGAGTCTGCGTGTGTTATAATGGACTGCAGCCTAGCTCCATGCTCAGTAGATCTGACAAGATGTACTCAAACGTCAAAAGAAAGCTACTCCACTCACAACTGCAGCAGATTCACAAAATGTATCCCCAGGAAAATGGACGCTTTCTTTTTTAACACTGCACAGTTAGGTTGTCATCAATTGCTACAGAGATCTTGACACTCCTGGCCAGAACCACCAGACTTGAATCTCTCCATTCATCTTCGCAAAGTGTTGTGAGTAATGTTCTCTCAGACCATGTACTACCTCTGATGGACTGTGTTGGGTTGTTGAGTCTTGCATGGCTGCACTTTGCTTGCTGGGAACAGTCTAGATGGGAAACGACAGCGCTCTGACCTAGTACAGTACAACCTCTAACAAATCATTTCATGGAATGAAATGCTGTTCCCTGAAGGCTTCACAGCTGAAACGTTGTGTTTTCTCTCTTCTCTTTTCAGCATGGATTAAACCTATTACTTGTTCCTTTGCAAACTACGCATGCTGACGCAGCTACCCACCTGAACTACAGGGCCCACTGGTTCCTTTCTGTGCTTTCCTTTCTTGATTTTCGCCAGGTCTGACATTCAGAAAGCCATCTCTCTCACCAATGATGCGATTTAGTACTTTTGCACATCACACATGTGTCACAGCCACGAATAATCAATATATAATGCTATATAATAAATCAAAATAATGCGAAAAACATATCAATATCCAGAATATGTATACTTTAAGTGAATATGAAAAACAACAGTTGCAAATGAGAGGAGGCCTTTTGGAAGTTAGTGGCTAATTGATGCAAGGCACACATCCAGCTGTTAGCTGAAGAAGATGTTGTCTTCAACCGCACGGCTTGGTAGCTTGTGTAGCTCCAACAACCTTTTCTAAAAGCACACATTGCCAAATCTATGTGCTGTGTTGATGCAGTCCTAGCTAAACAGAATTATGTTTGTAAGTCAAGCAAAAGATGCTTCCACAAAGTGCAATCTCAGGGGTATGTACTGTCTATAGGCATTACAAATGTGGGGTATACACCTTAGGGGAAATATCATGCAATTTGGGCTGTAATAAATGTACAAAGTTATGCCTACAAAAAGGATCCCAGACACCAAAGTTAAAATCTCTCTCAAAGGCTGTGGTTGCTTCAGCCTGAAAATATGCAAAATAGAGCAGATTAAACAATGTGCTAGTTTTAGGTAGGTGCAGGATACAAGTACAGAAAACTGCACATAGAGGTTTGTGGCAACAGATAACATACCTTTTCATGCTAGCAATAAAAAAGGGCAAATAAAATTTCATTTTTTTTCTGGAATTTGCCTGTCTGCACGTACCAGTATGAACTACAAAGACGAACATTATGATGTAAATCCTACAGTAAAAGGTAAGGTGTTACTACTCAGAGGAATGGATCAACCTGGAGCAGAGAAGACAGTGCAGAAATCTACACAGTTACACTTTGCATAACAAAAAACTGTACCAAACCATCTAGCTAAATAGCAAGAAATTATACAGAAAGCATTGGAAACTGATCTCTGGAGAATAACATTTAAATTACTTGTATGAGGTTTAATGTACCGACTAATTTGCTCCCAGGTGTTCCACCAAATCATGCTTTATACATCATGCCTTAGGCATGACAGGTAATCACATCCTGCTTCCTCTTGTTCCACAGAGTAAAAACAAGCTCTGTAATACATTCCTATTGGGTTGCTCCCTGCCTAAAGCATCATTAGGCTTTAAAGGCAGAACATCAAAAACGATTTAAAGAGTTCAATAGTTGCCTTGAAGGGATCAGGGATAAAGGTGTGGATTACAAAGGTGAAACTGAACCTTCTTCTGGTTCAAGGGGCAAGTAGAATCACAATGAGCTGTACCAGCAGCCCAGTCAATCAGTGTGCACTATGGTGATTTAAGAGAGCTGACCAGTACTGAACCAGTTCAAGTTGATGATGTCATCCCATTGAAAGCTAGACTGTACTGAATTCTTCCATAACAGAAGACCTGGTGTGGCAGAGTATGCTGTTGTCTTGGGAATGAAGCTTTGGGGCTGTGAATACTGTAAGCCTGCAAGAGACCACCTGTGATCAAGCCCTGGCTTGGAGCAGGGCAGGGCAGGGCAGGGCAGAGTTGCCCCCATCACACGTCACGAGACCCATGCAAAAGTGCACCACTACACGACATTTCAGATTTACAAAAGATTACAGATCCAAACTGAGCAGCACAAACATCACTCTGCTGGCACTGAAACCAAGGATTTTTAATTATTTAAAGACAAACCTTCAAATGCAGAGGAATACCTTTTGTGGTAAACATTTTCAAGTTTTACTTTACTTTAATTTCTAAATCACCTGCCTAAAATAATGGAAACCCAAACAGTAAAAAACAGTATTTTTTTTACATCAGTGTACTCAAATATAGCCCTTCTGCAGAACGTTTGTCAACAGTTCATTCCTTTGATAATGGGGAAAAAAAATTGAACTGGAAAAGAAGTAGTCTATCTTTTCATAACAGCAGCGTATCGTATGCAATTTCGGGCACAGATCACACACTTTTCTAAGGAACTCATTCACTTCCTTTCGGATTGCTTATTGTAGATGCGGATAATATGCTCTTTAAGTGAAAAAAACATTATAGTGAAGGACTGAATGCATTTCAATTGTTTGTATTATTTTAAGGAAAACAACAGAGAGTGTGACTTACAGGTAAATCAGGTAAAATAAATTCTGACTCAATGTGTCTTGACTGCAGGATGATATGACACAAATTGTGTTACATTGGAAAAGGTGTGAAGACTTGTGTAGATAGGTGTCTACAGGCACTTCCTGAAACCGAGACAGAAACATGCTTAAAATCTTTAGAAGACATTCCTGACATTCCAGGAGCCTCATTAGTGATGACAATTAATTACATTAAATTACACTAGTAAATCCCCAGTTTAACAGACTTCACTGTACTGTACGGAATCTACTAAATCACAATTCTGTCTGTAAAATCAAAAATGTTGGACAGCACAACTAATAAAACAAAAATGTAAAAATAAGTACTACAATTGATTCAAATTCAGGAATATTAATGGTGCCCTATGGGTGTACTGTAGGTTGATGCTTACAATGCGTGTTGTTCTCGATTCATGTTTTAGCAAATTATATACAGTATGATACACAAAATAATGAGTTTATGTATTTATGATAATAAAGGCACAGCAACAATTTTCATTTTTTTACTGTTGATTGTAATTATTAAAACAATAAGTCAAAAGATCCAGAAATGATATATACAGTATATATAGTATATATAATTTCTAATATAATAGAGGACATTCAAAGGACACGCTTCATCCCCATTAATCCATTAAACTGAGGGTTTATTGTACATTTCCATTGTGTGAAGTTTTAGTATTTGTAACAGACAAGGATATAATTATAATGTCTTGTCAAGTGGTTTAAAATATTGGAGTTTGTTGCATATGAATAAACAAGTCTATTGATATACTACATAAAGCACACAGGAGATTTACAGTTTAGGAACTGATTTCCATGCCTGTAAATATAATAAAGTGTAGAACTATGCTTTCTCCTAAATACAGTGCATAATACAGTAAATACATTCCATCCATAGCTCTGGCTTTTGACAAGTTTGAAGAGTAATGAAGCAAAAACATATTAAGGATCAAATCATTGAATCTACTGAATTTCAACTGCAGTTTGATTCTTGGTTGCTGCAACAGACAACGGCAATAAAGACACTGAAAATCCAAATGTTCTGAGTGAAATCTACATGTATATTTCTTTTAAACACCGTAGGACGAGTTTAAAAAGATAACCTATCGAGTTGATTGAGGAATTGCGAGAACAGTTCCTTCCAGTGCAGTGATGAACTGAGGCAGGGGAGTCAGATGTTACCACAGAACCAGGGATGAATGACTCCAGAGCAGCAACCTGCCAGTTCTGTCAAACAATTGGTCAGTTCAGTCACCTCTCAGCAAGATTCAATTTACTGACGTGGCCCACATTTGTCCCGAATGCAGTGAAAGCAATCCTAATCCAGCGGCTGCTGCCTGCCTCTCCTGACAAACCGGGATCACGATGGATTTTTAATGCAGAGCTATCCCGGCTTACGTTGGTTTCAACACAACGGAAAACTGGCAGTGCAGGAATTGCAGGGACAGTCAGACAGAAATCCCCACTAAGAAAAAAAAAGAAAAAGCCTGCAGAAATTCCCAAATTCAGCCCACAAAGCAGAGGGTTTCATCAGATGCAGAGAACAAGCAACAGTAATTCCGCCACACAAGAATACCAGCAGAAACAAATACAACTAGAACAATGAAGTACTGGAATTACAAAGTTGCCAGACAGGTTATTCAACATTCCTAGTGCCTAGTACAGATTCTACGCAGCAAATTCACCGTCATTAACAGACTGCATGGTATAGGGAAAGCAATTTCCTTTCCAAAAGCAGAGCTTACTTGACGTTGCTTGGTGAAATTACGAGGCTTGCAGCATATTGCCATTTCAATTTGTTCTCGTCTGTTCTTATGTGATTAAAGAAAATTTGATGGGGGGTGTGGTAATGTTCTATTGTGCTGATGTAACGGTGACAAACACTGCCATTTAAGAACATAGGATCTGTAAACCAGTAAACTATAGATTGTATGCTAAGCCTTCATAGTCTCGATCAGCTATTTCTATAAATGCCTGGAAAAATTCCTCTCTAAGCCTGCAGTCTGGATTCAGCAGGGAGGTAAATAAGTGTCTTGTAAGGCTTCTGCTTAAACATTCCTGTCTGTCAGGACATATAAGAGAAGTACTCAGGAACAAAATCTAAGGTCATATTTCAGAGAACACTCCTTCTGATTTAGCAATACTAGGCTGTAGTAACATACCACACGAATTCTCTATGTGGTACAAAGGGTATGTGTAGCGTATACACATTAAGTGCATGTTCATGCTTCCTGTAAGATGGCAAAAGAAAAGGACCAAGCTTGGAAGGCTGGTATAAGGAAGAAATTCACAGAAAAGCTTACACCCAACAGTGAGTCAATACGTCATGTGAATTTGATTTTAAATTTGTTGATTGAGGAATAAAAATCACTACAGTATGTACACTTCTAAAAATCCAAATGTAACAAAAATGCATAAAGTAGAGCACCGACTAGATCAAGCAACTGTAAATAACACATACATTTCTGAATACACAAGGTTTATAGATATTGTCATTTTATAAATATGCTGAATTTACGTTTAACAATCCTCTGATGTTTTTCACTCATCTGGCTGTTCTGCATAGCCACCTGACTAGGAAAGGAAAGCGAGACGGTTTTATCCAAAGGTATGAACAGAAAGACAGTTTGAAAGACCAACTCATACCCGGGAGCAACAACTGTGAATGTTAAAAAAAAACTCTCAGAATATAACGTCTCCAAAATCACCGTTTGAGACTGGCAACATCTGGTATCTGTAGCAGAGTTCCACAATAGCAAGAAAATAAAAGACATGAATTTGCCATATAGCAATTAACGTACTCCTCAATCAAATGGGATAAAGTTATGAAGGTGGAGGAAAAACAACTTTTCACCATCATGCAGTTAATGGCAGCACGATGAGAAAGTTGAAGTTCTGTGAAGCAAAGAAAGAGACAAACTTGGTGTCCTAATTAAAACTGAGTGTCAATAAGATTCCAAACTGTACCAGGATATTTTAGCCAGATCCTTGGTGCCTCCTGTCATGAAGATGAATCTTGGACTCAAACTGATTTTATAACAGGATAACAAGACAAAACCCTGAATCAAACACGATGACCAAATGCTTGGGAGAACAACATAAAAGTACTTGTGCTTGGACACGACAGAACTGAAGAAGCAAATCTCAAGTGCAGGTTGTGCTGGAGAAGTTCTGCATGAAGGGGTGGTGAGATATCCCTTATAAGCAATTAAACGGACGGTTATCCAAGTCAAAGAGTTCACAAAATACTGATTGCCCTGGTTGAACATATTTGAACGTCACACTTTTAGAAATATATGTAACAGAAACACATACATAATATCTCTTTTGCATGTGTTCCATTTGTAACATAATACTGTAAAGAAGGCGGCTCCAGGGCCGAAACGTTGTGTTTTCTTTCTTCTCTTTTCAGCGTGGAATAAACCTATTACTTGTTCCTTTGCAGCCTACGCATGCTGACGCAGCTACCCACCTGAACTACATACTGCTGTGTACTGAAAAGTGACTCTGATTTTTTCTTTCTATTTAAAAGTCTACTATTTTTTTGCCCCGCAAATTTACATATCTGCTCATATCAACCCCTTAAGGCTAATAGTTTTGAGTCAAGTCGTTTATCCCATTTCTACTGAGAAACGCCTGAGGGGAGGGAGGAAGACTAAATGAATTCTCGCAGTTTCCCTCTGTTCCTACAAACTTCCAGAGACAGAAGAAAGTCAGATCTGATGAGAATTAATGTACTGTGCATGGAAGATCTCTATGATTCCTGCAGGGCTGTAAGAGCTGGGAAGGGGGCTCAGGCAACTGCTGACAACAGGGGAAAGTCCCAAGGAGTGGGATGTCAGCTTTGGCAGCAGGAAGAGTATAAAGACAAGGGTTCATTGCATTCATGTCTGGTGGGGGGGTAGACACGCGTAAGTTATGAAAATATGTGTCTGACCCTGTCATCTTTTGAACTTATATGACATTGCAAAGATATGTCTAAAAAGGATGCCTCACAGTGTCTATGAATGCCAAGTAAGCTCCAGCACAACGAAACTGAAATTTTCAGAGCGTAATATACACGTCCATTTTAAACACAAAAGACAGTCTGTTGGCAAATTTAAGGCTTTTATCTGAGGTGGAGCAATATGATCAGGAGACGTAGGACCCTGGTCTTATTATTTCGTTCAGCGAGCATGCGTTCATCCAGAGATTGTCGCTCAAATTTTCACCAATGTTAAAATGTTACATGTATAATATTTTAAGATCAAAACACAAACTACCCCGGCCAGCGTGACCTTTCAAGTATTACAAGCTCTAGGTGGAAGCACGGAATGACTCATTTCTAAGCTTGAGCTCTCTCTGTATTTCTCTGGAAACGACAACCTCGGCTCTAATGAGCTGCATCATTATCTCCCAGATACTACTGTCTTAAAAAAAAGTGCAGCCCTTAATATACGTTATTCTCCTTCTAAATTAGGATCAGTCTGCATCCCCAGCTGAAAACTGTCCTTATGGTCAAGAGTAATGAATTGCGAATGTCACTTACCTTTCCTTTCAGGCAAACAAGCATGACTGTTATGGTTGAAGCAACAATTTTCACCTTAAACTTCACTCTGCTCTTACTGGGTTTAAACTGTCACATTACATGAACACTCAGGATTTTTGTGAAACTAAACTAACTGCTTCCTGGCACCATGGAAACAGCAAAGACCTGAAAATGGGATGATTCCTTTGGGTGTGCTGAGAAATTCTGTTGTCAGTTCAAACTAGATTTCTATATCTAATATGAAATCACAATCTATATACAGTTGTTGATATAACGAGTGGCTGAACTGTAATGCTGCCTCTATAATATTTCTATAAGTGGAATGAAAGAGATTTGCTTGAACTGGCCTAAATGAGCTAATACATGGCTGTCAATCCTCAGCACTCCAGCAGCAATAAACTCTCCAGGGAGATCATCACCAGAAAGCACTTGTTCACCTTCACTGCTTTAAACCCATATGGATACATTAATAATAAAAAAGACTGATATAAAAATACTAAATTTAAATGTATGTCATTGAAAGAAAGGGGCAGGTTGTTTGTGGATATATATAATATAGCCACATACATATATATACACACATCTCTCACTCAGCCACCCATGCACCTACACAAAAAAAGAGGAACAATTAGATTCCCCAGCTGTGAAGGTTATAAAAAAAACTGAATTATACATTATGCCTTTTAGAGATTCTATGTTTAGATCAAGAGGGCTGCTACAATTTTCACAGGCCTTAGCAGCGGAGCTAAATAATTAATGTGCAATTTGCAATTTGAAAAATGATTACCACTGACGAGAGAGACGGGAGAGGCGGGGTGGAGCTGCATGATTTTGGGACATTATAGGCGTCATAAAGTGACTTACCTCTGCGACCTTAGGCGGCATCCCATCTCCCAGCACCTCTCTGAAGAAGCACTGCTGGGTCATGTAGCAGGACAGGCCGCTCGTCCTCCTGAAAGCATCCTTCAGCCGCTTGAGCTCGACATCGGTAACTGCGGAGACACGGCGACAAACAGTGAGGCCTCAGGGAAAACGGTTCTCCACACAAATAAACCGATACGCTTTTAGAAAAGAAAACACAACGGTGCTTTTTTAGTGACATGTTGAGAAAACGCCCTTTTTTTCCCCCCAAAAAAGTGCCGGAACAGCAGTGACCCTCCAGTTGGCAGTCTCAGGCTACCATGTTAGAAATGTAATAATTCAAGCACCATCTGTGAAGATGCAGAATTCACCCCTCAGTGTGTTGAACTGGTTTACTGGGAGGGACGCACAGCGATTACACACACTCCTTGGCCCAAACCCACTTGGCCGAGAGACGGTAGTCTGGTGAAGAGGATGAAGCAATTTGAGCCCCTGAGAAGTGACAGGGCTGGGGGTCCTCCAGAGTCAAGAGGGCAGATTTTCCGGGTCCGAGGCACAAGCCACAGCCGATCGTCCCTCCCAGACATTTAATTTCCAGCCGGGCCTCCCCGAGTGATCACAACCTCGACCAGCTGCCCGGTGCCGAATGGGGCATTTACAGGAATGCTTGCAATGACAGCCTGTGATATTCTCTCGCCTCATCTCTCTGCCCTACATATTTGTTTTCACTTTTCAGCTATCGATGGGGCACCAATGTAATTAGAGCCAATTTCAGTGGCTTTTTAAAAAAAAAAAACACTTGAAAGCTCAGGTCTCCGACATAAAATATCTCATAAAACAGTTTCAGTTTAATTACAGAACTCGCATCTATTTGGACTGCCTTACCTTGAGCCACTGGGTTTAAATTAAAAAAAACAATGCTGCAACCAATTTAGTTGACAAAATCAAAAGGTATATATTTGTTTGTTCACCGGTGCCATTAACAGTATGGTAAATGGGGTGTAAAGCACAAACCAAAAGCTAAAGACAAAAACCACAAGCAATACCTTCCTGAGATACTACAGCTTCCTAGCTAGTGCCAGACACTTAATTAACTCCCCTACCCATCATTACAGAGCAATGGGCACCAGGATCTGGGCACAGGACAGGCCTGTTTGCTCTGCTTATGCACAACCTCTGATACTTCATGTTCAAAAGCAGTAAACCGTAATCACGCTTCCCCCAGCTGTAGAAGAATCATCACCCTCAGGAGATCCCATAAACCAATAAAGACCTTCCCAGCACGATCTGGGTTAATGCCCTCCTACGTCTTCTTGGGCAAAAAGGGAAGCAAGAAAAAAAATGACATCAGCTTGAATTTCCAAATAAAAAAAGGCTACTAAGCTGCTCTAATTCTTCTTCTTCAAACTGGCAAGAACACCTTAGCAATGTCAGACACAAATGTCTTATTTTAAGAAACGCACCGGCTGCGTACTTAAAAACAAATGATGACAAGCCGAAGCACAGATTCTCAACTAGCACAACGTGTCGGCAAGGCGCTGCCATGAAGGGAAAGCCGTCACAGAAACAAGAACATGGGACCAGCTCCAATCGAATCTAGCATCTCAATAACTTAGCACTAATTACTGCCTGTGACTGTTTAAGATGTATTGAGTAAAGTTAAAATTAACTATAACAAACAACAAAAAATTCAATTAATGGCCACTTTGATTTAATGGCTAATATTAGAGTGTTTGTTAACTTGTCAGGGTAAACTGAATAAAGAGGCTTCCTTGCAGAGCCGATTACACGCTATGAGCCAGGCGAAGCAGGCCTGAGCCTGTGTCATGTTATTAGCCCACGCTGGCCAAGACTGCCCACATGGTGGTCCAGCAGGGCAGGGCTGGGACCCTCCTAGCTCTCCCGAAAGCCACAACTCCTGGGCTATGCTGGGCGCCTGCTGGCTTGTGGTGACATCAGTGAGAGTGTCTGGCATGGTCAGGCTCCCAGCGTTTCAAACGACCACTGGCTATGAAGGTAGCATGTCTGAGGAGCCTCGTTCTCACCAGAGGCGGGAGTGTGAGAACCACTATGACATCAAATTTGTTTTTTTCCAAGCACTGTAAGATTTCACCCAAGGTCATAATGCGATGATAAAAAAAGTGATTAGTTACTCGCGATGCACAATGTGAACCTGTTTGACCTCATCTGATCTTTACTTTTCAAAATCTATTAAAAGAGGTGTGATCCTACATTTCACTAAAATGCATGTGATCACTAGGTTTTTCTTTCTTTCTTCTTGAGAATGCAAAATAGGTTAGGAGTTGATTTATTAAGTCTGCACAAAACTATTAATAATCATTTATACTTAATTTGTTGCTACATTTGTGCTCCAGTCCTGAGTTAGTGCAGCTCAGTGTTAATGTGTGTTGGACAAGCCTTGTAGTCTGAGCTCTGTACTGTGCCATGCCAGTTTTGTATTAAGAGAGGGCAGGCTGTATTGGAGGGAACTGCTTTCCATCAGTTCTAAACATTCCCCAAAGAGTACTGCAACATTACAGCATTGTACTTTGAGGAAAAATAAGGTAGCTTCTTCGGGGCTAGGAACATTAAGAGCACATTCATTGTAAGACACATCACAGCAGGACACAAAGCCCAGACTAATTTGTGTTGTAAATTAAAAAAAGAAGTCTGAGATTTACAGCAACAGCAAAGGCGATGCAGAAGCCCGTGGCTGGTTTCCTTACTGATTATTTTTAGAAATTGCACAAATGCAGTTGCAGAATAACAACCTGGCAGCTTATCCAATTAAAAATTAAAAGCTGGTGGGCAAACAGGAAAAAAGAATGCCTTCCCTTTGCCCTCCCTTGCCTGTGCCCGGAGAAAGCAGCAGCTTTTGTTGTGGGAAGAAGCCGAAAGGAGGTTTTTAAAAGCTTGTCAGGGTCCTCGAACCCCTGACGCTGTGCTCTCATGCAGCCCTTCCAAACAACCACAGGTGGGCAGGACTGCACTGACTGCACACAAGGTCCGTTTCAATCCCAAACACAGCCAGGAGCAACAGTTCTGGTAGGAAATAAAAACCCGCAAGGAAACAAATTCATTGCACTGATACCCCAACATATGGAAGTGCAGAAATGGGTGTCTGAAATTTACCGGATGTGATTAAATCCCCTGAGCATGGGTTTCAGATCACAAAGCACAAGGCGCTTAAGAGAGGCCTGTTCTTTAGTTTTATTGAAAGATCTGGTTTGTACTTGATGATGCTGCTCAGATTCAATGCCCAGTTGTGCATCTGCGAATGCTACCAATTTAGTTTTGGAAACAATGTTGCAGCTGGAAAACAAACCAGAAATAAATATATAGCTGAATAATGAATGAATCCTATATATCTGTTTGGAGATGCATTTATGAACTTCAGGCAGTGAATAAGAAAAGAGAAGTAAGGTGGAAAGGCATTCGATGTTGTCTTCTTTATTTATAGGTTTACATTCAGACACAACCCGTCTACTTAATTAACAGACAGAAAAGAAAATACATGCATATATTTCCAGTAGTCGTAGCTACACCCTGACATTTAAAAGCACACGTGATTCTAAAGAAAAGATAAGCTAAGCTGCACGAAAGTTCAGTCCTATTCATACTTCTTGGAAATAAAAGCACAATCATGGGCACCGCATGACTGATAGGCTCTAGCGAAATGTACACAGCATCTAACTTGAGCAGAAAAGCTGAATTCCGATAAATGAAATACCGTGGAACACTGGAGCATAAGACTGAACATACATACATAAGATACAAGTGTCTGACAGGGAGGACTTAAATCCATCCTACAGACTTGTCAATGGTTCTCTTCCTGGGCAGATAAATCTGTATTGTGTCTGATGGAAAGGACCCCAGTGAGGAAAATCAACCAGGAGTGGTGGGGGAGACGGAAAAGACAGAATATAAAGTTATATCAAAGATAAAAAGCCAGCTAAAGAAAGGTATGATGCTCAGCATTGCCCCCTCCCAGCTCTTGGACCCTGGTTCTGTTCCAGACTGCGGTGCCTCCCGTGTGGGTTTTAGAGGAGTGACTGGTGGGCTTACTGGTGTCTCTAAATTGTGTGCGAGTCCTGCAGCGGATTGCTGTGCCATCCAGAGTGTAGTCTGGCTGCAATCCTCCACAGGACTTAGCAACTTTCTAATAATGGATGCATGTATAATAATGTTCTTTATAAAGGCCTGTGCAGCCTATAGTAGATATACAGTAGCCTATAACATGCGTGTAGTATTGGTGGAATTACCTAATGAAGTTACTGTGTTGTCTCTGTAAATGACTTTGTGTCTTGAAAGGCGTTCTGCTAAAGTTTAATAATGCCCTTCGTTTGCCTTTTTAAAAGCGAATCACAATAGTTTGATCTGCACAACCTGAGCCCTGTCCCTGAGAATGTTATTTTAAAAAGGATGAAGAATGCAATTATTAAACCCATATTTTTAAAGTAATTCCTGGCTTCCACGGCTCACAGTGGGAATTGAATGAGTTTAATCATTTCTGCATCTGCACTTATAATCCCCTCGCTGAAAATTTAATCGAAAACAAATTAAATCTCATAACTGAAAGTCAAAAGGACTGCTAACTGCTAATTGCACACAGAGCAGTTCTGCTTCAATTAACAGCCAACATCACAGAATTATTTAATCGCAGATGGAGACAATATAATCACTTGGACAGGAATGTCCTACACTCTGTCTGTATACCCCAAGCAAACATTCACCTCTTCCTTTTTATTTAAACTGTATTGGATTTTGTAGTGGTACAGACCAGCTGCAATGGCAACAAAATGCATCTTCACATTATATATACATTTTACTGGGGGGCGGCACTGTGGAATAGCAGTTTGGGCTCTGATTTCATTACCGGCGGGCTGTGGGTTCGAACAGTTGTTCTATCTTTGCAGAAGTATTTTACCTTAATCCATCTCTCAACATGCTCAATGCTACAAAACCTCATGCAAGCACTAAGCACAGCAAAGACATAGCAAATCAAAACGTTAATGCTCTCTGTATTGATCAGAGAATAAGTCCATATTGCTGGGGACAGCCTTTAAATAAATACCACACACAACAGACAAATAACAGAGGACAAAGAAGGAACTGAGAGCTATGTCATTTACAAGAGTACATGATAAATTCTCCATCCTTCAACAGAGAAGCAGCAAATTCATTTTTAAACCATTCATTTTTTTGTCCCTTTAAATGAAAACCTGTGGTAGCAATGCAGTGGTTTGGTTAAGCTGAGCCTAGAGAAATTCTAGCATTCCTCAGAACACAATACTGTAAACCCTTGGTTTAAAAGACAACACCACACTCATATAACATTGGACTCTCCACTCAAAGCACTTCACAGGTGTGGACTCCCCTTCACCATCACCAATGTAGCACCACATGGATCATGTGACAGCAGCCAAAGCTCATTTTAAACTGTATATGTATGACACATGAAATCAAAAAGCAATTTTCATTGACAGTGCCGATTGTGATTGTTAAGAAATACCCAGAAATAATTGATAGAATATACATATATTTTATATATTTTTGACTTAATGAGTTATTGGGCTGAAAAGGGTCTGATTTAACACTGATGTAACAGACCCCCTTCCCCCTATTAGTCAGTTAAACCAAGGGTTTACTGTATACTTTAATTCAAAGCTAAATACCTTTGATTCAAGTGAATCATATAAAATGCACAAAACCGACTTTTCAGTTGTCACTACACTCCAAAAGCTGTGTGGTTTGGGCTAAAAATAAAATGGCAAGAAAGCCTACAAAAAAAAATCACATAGCTGCAAGGTGTGGTGGATTGCACAGAAACCTTTTTGAAGCTTCCTCTGGCAGTACAGGGGTGAGAAACATAAAAGCCTGTGGCAGAAAAAGTACAGGAGGGCTCTGGGGGACAAAAACACCAGCCACAGTGCTGACGAGGTGGTCAGATCACCAAGCATTTATCAGTCTTGTGTGTCAGTTTCCAGCAATTTGCTTGAATTGTTCTAATATTTGGATAAAGGGAAGAATGTGGCTTTTTAGGGAGAAATATAAAAAGAGACACAAATGAAAATACATACGAAGGCACTAAAACAAAGCCTTTCAGATGTCTGAAACACTATGTGTATTGTGATGCTGTGATGCAATGCATTTGTATTCCAGGACACCAAGACACCATATATGCAAATGTCTGCCTGCTTTTCCAGTGCACAAGAAGAACAATGACGTTAATTCTGCAGACTTAGCCTATCTTCTCTCGCCTTTTCCATCTTTAGACTACACAATGCTACCACTGACAACCCATGCTTGACAACACTCGCACAAGAAGCAATTGCGAGTAACAGAGAGGGCGTAACAATCCAAGAACTTTGTTGCAAAAATGAATTTGTGAGATCTGAAGGTATCATTAAGTAAAATGACAGGGAGGACAACACCCCATCTCTTGTGGCTCGTGGAAATTTAAAAACTCAGTTACGACCATTTAAATTTAGCTGAATGAACCTACAAATTAGGATCAAATTTAACCTGAAGACAGAGTACAGATTTAAACACATATCCAAACTTGCTGAAAGAAAGTGTTCACATCTTAAAATAAATCACTGTAAGATTCGAAAAGTTCCGTTGCTCTAATTTAGAAATTAAATTCATACTTAAATACTATCAAATTTTAGTAAACAGACTGTCATGTTTTTTTATTTACATTTCCTACACTATGTGTAAATGTCAAATTCTGTTTACATACAAAATAAATGTTCACAGAACAAGAACTTCACACAACATTTTTAATATATCACATTCCTAAAAACAGACCCTAGACACATTTGATCAAGTATACTCATATCTGTTTTCAGATATATAAAGAATAAATTTAGTGTACTTTTTATTTCAGAATATAATATGAAATATAATTTATTACATAATATCTTTACTTGTAACAAACAAAATGCTAGTTAACCCCTACATTTTATTAGGTAGCCATTACAATAAAACTGTTCATGATTTTAAATTTTCTATATCTGTTTTATACTGTAATTCTTAACTCTTAAAGAGAAAACTGAATAAAGCTGATAGCACACTATACTTATCATCCTAAGTAAGCACTAACACTGACAATCATGCAAAACTTTCCAAGCAAACCATATTCTCTTTGTGTTTCCTGCATACACACCTCATACTGTGGATAAGAACATCCAAGGATCTGAATTGGGAAAGGGCACAAAAATACCATGTTTTACACCAATGTGAAAGGACATTAGCTAAAGGGAAATTGTTTTCTTGATCAGAAATAAATACAATGTATGCACACAGCAGACACAGAGAAACAGCTGAATGTTCAGGTACTTTGCTCTTCAGCTTGGAAAAACAGCCAGAAAACTGTTGACACAGCTTTCACACACCTATTCTATATCTACCTGACCATGATATCTGAGCAGGCATGCAGGTAAAACTACACCATAGCTTTAACTTGATTACTCATATCAGCAGTAGACTATACCTTGCAAGTTGTCATAATGGGTAAAATTTAAGATCTGATGCTAGAACAGTGCTAGAACACCTTGCAAGCGCTAACCTTAAAACTAACCCCTGTGAGTTTGCTCAACTGCAGCAAACTCGACTCTCGCAGTACAGTCACCTCTCAAAATACACAGAAGGCTCTGGTGACCAGAAAGCAGTACAGGCTTTAGGTCTCTGTTCAACAGCACAGGTTGAAACATGAAATTACTAGGGAAAAAAAAGGATAATGTCTGCACTTTCATTTGTGTCTCCCCATCCCCAAGAAGTTTTTAAAAAAGAGTAAATTTGCAAATGAGCAATAGCGATATGATCAATGCTAGATCTTTTTTCCCTGTAGGACACCAGGTGTAAAACCCCTGCAAATTATTTGATGCGTCATCAGCCACAAATGCAATGAAAGAGAAGACAGAACTGCTCCTGTCAGAGAACACTTCCCCCTCAGGGGCTTCCCCACACAGTACCGTGTGCTGTAGCAATTAACCAGACTACTTAATCACTGGTGCTGGTCTCTAATTGGCGTTCACATTGGAAATGTAGAGCTCGGAAGAGCCCTCCCCCCAATCCTCTCCAATCCTAACCACCTCTACATTTTTTTGCAGACAATATTTATTCAAAAATGCAAAGTCTGCAAAAGTTCAAAGCTGCAGTGGTACTTGACTTAATTCAATATAATTGTTTGCCAGGGACTATGTACAATACGTTCTCATTTAACCCTCATAAACATTGCACTGCTTAGAAAAGAGTAAAATTACCATCATTACTACTGAAATCCATTTTTTTCCCTTTCTGCTCTGTACTAATGTAGACTGCTTGCTTCACACAGAAATCAGCTAGTGTTTGCAGGAATGTTAATTTGGGTAGATGTGATAAATGAGTCTGGGAGACGTCTTTAGCAAAAGCCAGAATGATATTTTCTCTATCGCATTGTCTACAGAGATTAGAAGCAATTTTTTTTCCCCACTTAAATATCTGGTTTTCAGCAGTGAAATTATATAAATGCAAGCTATTACTTATTTCAGCACTGGCTCAAAGTTTAATGACCTGTCCTTTTTGTAGATAAACAGCTCTGATTTATCATGCCGTTATTTGGTATTACATGCCAAAGTGAGTCCTGATTGCTGCTGCTGAAAATGACAGGGTTACACCAGTAAACAGACTGGATTACTGGGAAGGGAACTGAAGTCTGTGCTAATAGAACGTGCCTATAAATACTGTCATACAGTAACAGTGTTGCGAAAGATACTGTAGATACTCATACACAGGCACAGCATTTTTTTTCAAATGATTAAGTAATGGATAGTAAGAGAATGCAGTTTGCAAGAATGCAAGAATAATAACCCCATTAGATAAATAACAAATACAGTTTAAACTAACTTTGATGATTGTTTTGCTGTTAACACACCAGAGAGCTCTGCAGTTCTGGTGTGCATCATCATCTTGTTCACACGCTCTTCAGAGGTGCCCTGCTTGCACTGCTTATCTGCAGATGACAGATCTCCGATGCACACACCATTGTGGATTAGAAAGCAGGGGGTGTTGAGGCCACTGGCCACTATTCCATTTAAAATAAAACAAAGTGAGAAGTTCTCATTTCAAGGGGAGTTTGTCAGTCGGATGTCCAAGCATCCAATCTCAAATTTTACCCATTATGACAACTAAGGGCTTGTCTCAAGTGTAGTGTCAATGCCTTTCATAAAGCAGAAACTGTAACACAAAACACTAAATTAATCTGCTACTGAAGACTTCCTTGCAGTAAGGCCTTGATACAGTGACACCACAACAATGCACCCATACGGGCGTTTTGAAAGGGCTTTCAGTCTGCGTTTGGTGTAACTATTAAAAACCAAAATAAACGTTAAACGATCATTAAAGAAAGTTCTGTTTACGCTTTAGGCGTGCATGACAGGGGCGATCTCTCGCTTTCCTCCAAAGGTGGAGATCTGGTAAATGTCCTGTACCGACCTGAGCTCCAAAGTAAAAAAAGGCAATCTTCCTCTCCTAAATTAACGATTATCCATCATTATTGCTCGCCACACACAACTACAGGGCACACACGTTATCGGCGGCCTGGCTTCATTCCTGTTGGTATTCTGAGCCTTATTTGCTAATGGGTTGTGCCGGATCACTTAAGCTGCTTAGTACTACAGTGTCACATTCCGATAGCGGAGCTCGGCCTCGGCCAATTGGAACAAAACGCAGAAAAATAAACAAAAAAGATTCGCTTCACCCCGGATCCCCAGATTCTCCCCTGCCCCCCTCCTGCTCCTCTGTACAATTCTGCTGAATCGCGGTTCCTCCGGCTTTCAGAACCCAGCACCTCAGCGACCGAGCGCCCCGGGCAGCTTCAGTACGGACACGACACTTGTCAACACCGCCTCGCCTCCTGCAGCCCGCCTGGGAAACCGACAGCGCTCCAGATCCCCCCGCAGCCGTGCGGTAAACAAGGCGAGCCCCGCTTGCTGTCACTGACCGCAGGGTGTTCAGTCCCACCTTCTCCAGCGGTAACAGCACTCACCTCTCTTAACGGCCTCGTCATACGACAGGAACCCTATCCGCGACTCCTTGGCGCCCATGTTGCCCTCATTTCACAACAATGCGAGATATGATTCTGTAGGGGGGACCCGGTGCCTGCTGCCTGTTTTTTTTTCCCCCTGGTTTGTCGTGCGCTCGATGCCAACACCACCGTAGCCTCAGTGTTTTCGCCGAATGACGCTCTTCCTCGCCGACGCCTCCATACTTGGTCACATGACCGAACCTAATGTCGGGTCACCTGACGAGGTAGGAAAACAGCTACAGCGGCACTGCAGCGCGCAGGCGCCGGGCGCGAGGACATTGACTGCACCGCTGGCGCGAGCGAAGCGAAGATAATGGATTTCTCCTGCATCAATAGCGCTATAATAATAATAATAATAATAATAATAATAATAATAATAATAATATAGTGTCTTCAAAATCAACTTCTCAAAGCTCTTAACAGTAAGAGAAAAAAATCATGTGGAGTGCATCACCATGCTTGATACTCTTCTGCTTTCTATTATGTATTTAATACATACTTAATAATATCTCATAACTTTAAACTATTTGCAGACAAAAGGAACCAACCGAAAAGCAAGTAGGAGCGAAATAGTTATTTATGTAAAAAATGTCTGCATACTTCATTTAATAAACAATGACTACTGTTTTAGTATTCGTAGGAATACTGCAGTAATGTTCACACGATTTATATAAGAAATTTGCAGAATTAAATTTCATGATTGCTTCAGGACTGGATTAACCCCCACTTTAAAGTGTTAGCTGGTATATCATGAACCATTTGATTTTATTAAAATTTAATTATGTAAATAAATACTGCGAACCAGCGAAAGTTTTCCTGTGAACGGAAACAGACAGCCCTGAAGGAAAGACCTAGACAATATATCGTGCACAAGACTTACTGTCTCCACGATTTATGGTCTTTGAGGTTTCGAGTCACAAGAGGTCTCATTTCCTATTGAGAGGTTAAAGCATAGTTCTGTTTTAAAGGCAATTACTGTTTTTTTTACATCATTCTAATTACGCCAGCTGAGATTTACAGTAATATAGTAAAAGGTCTCGAACCCACACGCTCGAGGGACAAAGTGCCTTCGTCTCAGATCAGCTCTTAATTAGTCAGCTGCATTAATTATTGGGCCAACTGATTAATTACAGTTTTTATCGTTTGCTAAAAAAAAGTGCGCTTTGAAAACCCGTTTTATGCCTCATTTGCGCATAATTATTCTGTTGGGAAATGAAAGTAAGTGTGTTTGTGTAGTGTTAGCCTGTATTAAACCGCAGGTGAATGAGCCCTTTCGTGGTGTTAATGGATACGGATATATATGACCGGAAGCTCCGGACCAAGGTTTGACTGTCCCTGCTGGCTCCACCCCCCGGGACCAGGTCTCGGCCAATCAGGGAGCAGACCCCGAGACACACCCCTGAAAGTGATCGGATCGCTTTCGGACGGGAAATGACACGATTTGACAGCTAAAACGTTTAGGGCTTTTGGCTTGTGAGAGATCAGAATATGACTCTGGAACAAGATAACCTCCCTTGTAAGTGCGGATCCGACACCAGCTGCCTTGCCTAAAAGGACTGCATCTAACTTTGACTGTAAGCAGCGCCGAAGGCAAAGATAAATTACAATCCCATTGAGAGGAAATAGATATAAAATGCAAGAGGAGCAAATCAAGATAGTAAAGAGGAACATAGATCAATACACTCGTTTAGATGAACTAAGAGACAGGATGTATTGTTCTCATTAATTCTCTACCAATAAAGAGCAAGAAGCAACAATGCTGTTGGGTTTCTTCTGGTCTGGTCTACAATACTGGTTCGCTTGCCTTCCTCTTTCTCTTCATTTTATTGTCCTAGCAATCCAGTTGTGACTTGTACTAGATCAGCCACATAATGGTGACCTTAGAAGAACCCGAGATGTGAAACTTATTTTAGCAAATTCACTTCCTCTGAACTGGACTGTACACGGAGACGTAGTCTGAAAAAGGAGTAGTCAAACAACGCACATCATTCACGGACTATTACAACTTCCACAAACAGGACGCTGGAATCAGCCTGCGATTTAAACGTGGGAGTGGAAGAAAAAACAAACATTTATAATGCCTTCTTGGTGTTGATATCAGATACGGGAGAGCTGGCAAATGTTGTAGAAATGACAAAGGATTTGAAAGTATTTAAACAGCGCTTTCAAGACGTCTGAGCAAACAGTTTACAGAGTAAATTAAAATTACACAGGTGCACAGTGTTGAATGCAGTATCACAAACAAACCACAGGCATGATAAACAGCTCATACTGTCTTGGACTGTCTTGTTAGCACATCATTGTCGTCTTCTAGGCCATAAAAAATGTTAAACAGACTATCATGACATTAAAAGTGATTAATTTCAAGCAAGTGATGTTGTCTAAATTGCAGAAAATTCCAAGACCACATTTAGAATATCGTATACAATTCTGGTCACCACATTACAAAACAAAAAAACTAGCGCTGGCTCTGGAATCAGACCAGGCAAGAGCAACGACAGTCAGTCCCGGGTTCGACTGTGACCTGTCTCATGTGCTCATTCTGGTGAGGCCTGCAGGCCCGTCCGGAAAGGATCCCAATGATGTTATAGCGACCTCAAGTGGCCTCAGGGAGAAATACAGCGCATCACCTTGAAACAAATGAAAACAGATCAAGCAAGTTATTGATAAACTAATAGCGGTTTTGTTTTGAAATTTGGTTGACTTACGGAATAAACTCCGATATTTATAAAATACCCTACCGTTAGTAGGGCCATTTCTATGTTCGAAACACATTGGTGCCACTGTGGTTACCGATATTAAAAAGTCAAGTTTTATTGAACATTAATACATGATAAAAGAGAAAATGGATGGAAAAAGACAAGTCAACAAAAAAAAAACACCCAGAACAATATATTGCCAGAGATAATTACAAATCTGAACACGACAGGTTACAATTTTACACACGCCAATTGTGTTTTTTGCCTTGTTTTTTTCTAGCCTTTTATGGAGTTGAAGGAATATTGTATTTCCGCCTTATAAGCATTGAAGGGGGGTAGTATTGGTCCATTTTGTTTTGTGGATGCGATTTCTATCCGTTATCAATAATTGATTAGAAATACACGATCTTTTCCCATTGTACAGCATAACATCATATCAAACATCTTAGATCTAACACCCACATTCAAATGCTTGAAGAGAAAAGTTATCATTGCAGAGGTCAGCGGCTTACTGGTTGCCGCCGAAGTGTCCTGACAGGAGAAACGCTGAGGAAGTAGATGTTCTATGGAAAAATAACATTTATTTACAGTTAATCTGTAGGTAATACTTCCTATATATCATAATCACAAAACAAAAAGGTCCAACGCTACACCCTCTTATCTCTCATTTTTTTCGGATACCTTTTGTTCTTCGATCGGATTATAATGACCGTAAATAAAAGTTTGAACCAAAAATTAAATAGACAAACACGCAGAGGAAGCGTGTTTGCCCGCGTTGCTGTGGAGGTGACGGGCTCGGCGCATCAGGAAGACAGACGCGGAGGGGTGACGGTGGTCGGTCGGTGGAGTAATTCAGGGCGCCACGGCGCTCTTCCTGCAGAAACTCTCGTGGAAACGGGGCTTGACAAGCTGGCCCTCAGACGTCTCGCCGCGTATGTTAATGAGGTGCTGTTTCCTCTCCCCCGTAGCCGACGTCACGGGCGCTGCAGGAGGTGATATTGAGCTGATGAGATGAAGTTGCCCTTCCTGCCGAGCCGCTGAGCCGTGCGGGAAGTGGAGACTGTGCAGTCGGCGAGGGGGCGGGCGTCGCTCCGGAGGGGATGAAATGGGACTGGAGGTGTTACTGTTCGTCCCGAATGTTATTGGTGAGGAACGAAAACAATATGTACGCCAGCCAGGCACGGTTAAGAAGCGTGTCGGCGAGCGACGCGCTGGCTTCCCAACGCGACGGCTGCTCGCGTAGTGCCGTTCTGTGTTTATGCCATCTTAATTGAGGGAATCTTACGTTTAACAATACATCTTTGGGCCGTTTGTGTTCAGATGGACACTGCTGCACGCACCTAGATGGAGATAGTTAGAGATAATAAAGGCCAAGGTCCGTCAGTGACGTCACTCCTCTCACAGGTGATCTCTTGTCGCACAGGGTACATCCGGGTCCTGCTGCTGGGCATCGCCTGGGCTTACTTCCACGAGCCTGAGGTTTTCATCCCCTGCTACGTCATTTCCATCATACTGGATGGTGAGGAAACTTTGTATAGTAGGTCTACTGAGTGGGAAAGCAGAAGGCAAAGCAACAGAAGAATACAGGGTACTGATATTGAAAGCCTGATTTTAATTTTGTCGAGAGGGACTATAGTTCCCTGGCTGTGACGGGGTGTCTGTGTCTCCAGACCCCGGGGCCCAGTCCAGACCGGCGCAGGGACGGGGTGTCTGTGTCT